CCAATAATGAATTATTATAGTTCTGGATATTTTTAATACAGTTGTTTTTTTAAATTTTAAAGTATAGTTGTAATGGATTATATAACACCATTACAATATCAGAGAATCTGACTTCAACTGTATATTTACAGTCACAGGAAGTTTTATTCACTGATATGTTTTTATGACGTTAATTAACATCCTTTTATTTTAGCTTGAAAGGAAGCCCTTTAACTTTTCTCATAAGACAGGTCTACTGGTGATGAATGCGTTCAGTTCCAGTTTGTTTGGGAAAGTCTACTTCTCCTTTATTTCCTAAGGACAACTTTGCTGGGTACTATATTTAGTTGATGGATTTTTCTTTCAGTGTATTGAATATATCATTCCTCTTTCTCCTGCCTGAAAATTTGTATTGAGAAATCCACTAATGTTCTTATGCGAGTTTTTCCCATGTGATAAGTCACTTTTGTCTCGCTACCTTTAAAATCCACTCTTTGTCTATGACTTTGGACAATTTACTTCAAAGTGTGTGTGGGTTGCCCTTTTCAGCTTCTCCCTATTGGGTCTATTGGGCTTCATGGAACTGAAAGTCCATTTTGCTCCATGCATGGTAAATTTTCCACCATTATTGTTTTAAACACACTTTACATTTCTTTTACTCTTCTCCTTCTGGGATTCCCATAATGCTAATATAGTTTTCTTATTAATGTCTTATAAGTCCTGTAGGCTTTTTTACTCTCTTTCGGCTTGCTCCTCCAACTGCATAATTTTAAATAACCTTTCTTCTAGTTCCCTGACTCTTTCCCCTGCTTGACTGAGTCTGCTGTTACAGCTTACTATTAAGTACTTCCGTGCATTTAATGTTTGCTTCATTGTAGGATTTTTGGTGTTCTTTTGTAATTTCTTTTTTTTTGTTAAATTTCTCATTTTTTTCATTTAGTTAGCTGTCTGTGGGATCTTGTACTTCATTAACTTCTTTAAGAGGATTCTTCTAAAATTTTTTGTCAGACAGTTTATAGATTTCCATGTTTTAGGGTAGTTATTATAGTTTATTAGTTTTCTTTTGTACTGCCATGTTTACCTAAAATTTCATTCCTGTGTTGGTATCAGTGCATATAATTAAGCGGTCTCCTTTTCCCAAATTTACAGACTTTCTTCACCAAAAAAATGGTTTCATTAGTCAGCTCAGTTTGGAACACAGGACAGGGGAGATGATAAGATCCATAGGGAGGTGGGGAAAGTTATCAGGGTCTTTGTTGGGAAGGCCATTGCCTGTGCTCTGAAGGTGGTGACTGGAAGCTGGCTGAACTGTGTTTTGGTGGCTCTGCTGATTGGGCTCCCTGATCAAGTCAGGCTGCTAGCTGTGCTCTGAGGCTAGATGGGCTTAGCAATCACCTATATTTGGGTGACGTTTCAGATTGTTTCATGGTATGGTAGTGCCTTGTAGGACTCTGAAAATGGTCGGGATTACAAGCTGGGCTTTACAATGGCTCCTGTGTGGGTGGAGTTTCAGACCATGTTCCCTAGCTTGATGGTGCCTCTAGCTGGATTTCATGTTCAGTTGAGGCAACAAGGAGAGCTTCATAGTCATAGTGGGTGTTGAAATGTGATCTGAGATCTGGTGAGGCCAATGGGTTGTTTCCTGAAGTTGGCCAGGTTACAGGCTGGGCTACAAAATAAGTTACCATAAATTGCTAGCTGTGCTCTGCTATTGGATGTGGTTATTGGCAAGATTTTCTAGTTGGGAGAGGCCTCCAGCTCCATCCTACAGTTGGGTGGGGATAGAGACTGTTACACAGGTGGGCAGAATCACTCTCCTGTCTCCCTCATTGGATGGGTTACAAACTGTGCTCTATGATTGTGTGGGCTCATTGACTAGCTCCATGAATGGGTGAGGCCACAGTCTGTGTTAGTCAATTGGACAGGGTCATAGCCTGGGGTGTCTTGCTAGAAAGAATTATAGACCTGGCTCCACATATCAGCTGAACCATAGGCTTGCTGTCAGGGCTGCCAGGGTTCTCTGGCAAAGCCTTCAAAATGGCCAGGACTAGAACTATACTCAACAGTTGAGTGGGCCTGCAAATATGCTTCTCTGATTGGCCTGGGTAGTAGAATGGGCTCTATGGTTGGTACAGTGTGACTAGGGACCCAATTCAGGTAAAACTGCCAACTGAGCTCTCTGGTCAGATGGTATTGTTGCAGAAAATCACTTTCACACTCGGGGAGATAATGAAGCACAAACTTTATTATGCACATGGGCTCAAGGGGGAGGTGTTAATTTCCCAAAATCCTGAGCCCCGATTTTTTATTTTCCTGCGGGTTTAAATAGTCCCAGGCTTCCTGCCTATGTGGTGAAGCAAAGTTACAGAAGCTAAATGCAGAAGTTAGGTCTAGTTACCTCATATGGGAGACAAAGGAGCAAAATGCAGGAGGAAAAATTTGCAGAAGCTACAGAGCACAGGAGCTTATCATGGGAGTTAGTGTATGACCTTGAGATGACTGGCCATTGCCTTGGTGACAGCTCCTTACCTATTTGCAAGTGTTACAGAGCATAGAAACTTTTTTCATGGGGGGTTTCTTTTCCTGCTACAGTATGAGTAGCTTTGAAGAGCAGAAGAGCAGACCAGTCATTGGGCTCTGTCTTAAAGGACTTCTACAAGCAGGATGCAGTCCACCCAGTCCTGAGTTCTGGGTGCTAAAAGGCTCCCCTTTGCTCACATTTCTATTAGTCATCTAGTAGCGAGAAATCACCTAGCTTTTTGCTTAAGCCAGACTGCTGAATCACATGGACATGGAATGGGGATTACAACCTTTGCCTCCTTAAATCTTTGCAGGTGGCGCCAACCTATATCATTCCCTCCTTTTCCAGGGAGTACGATATTGCCTTCAACTTACTATTTTCACCAAAGAAAACTTCAGTTTCAGAGCCTTCCCTAGGACAGTTGTTATTTACTAGGTTAAGAAATGATAGGGTGAAAAACCAGGTTGGCCAACTGCTATGTGTGTCCTGATTATACATTTGAAATCATGGGAGATGACTGCTGGGTGGTTCCATGGATTGAGTGGACTCACTGTTAGATGGACATCACCTTACTTTCATAAATGTCTTCTAACAGGGGCCGTTATGATGTTTTGGGTTCCTAGATATCAACTGAGACACTCTATTAAAAACTCTTAATATTTCTGTGTATTTTCTTTATCATGCATTTGGCTATTTGAATAATTTGCCATAGGTCTCCTTGCTGGAGAACTCAAGGAAATTGTTACTGTGTACAATCTGCACACTCCTTTCTTGTAAGAACTGCCCTCATTTCCATCCACAGACTATGGGGCAAGTATTGGCCTAGTCCATGCCTAGGACTGGTTTGCTAAGACCACCGTGTTAAGGTGGGCTCCCTAAAAGCAAAGCCTGAGATAAAGTCTCTTGAATAAGTAATTTATTGTGAGAATTCTCTTGGGAGGAAGAGGGTAAGGGAAGCAGGATACCATGGAGGGGAAAGCTAAGTAAGGATGTGCTCACAGCGGGACAATAGCTCTAGCCTGAATCCCTGGGGGCATGGGAACACAATCACTGCACATAGTTGGTTCAACCTTGGGGATGGGGACCAACCCCCAGGTCAAATAAATGTAACTTTCAGGTGATTATGGCTTCATTTGCCCAAAGCAATACCCTGGGGAGAGGTGGCATGGCAGCCAACCCACATAGTTGCCAGGGCATAAGAAATCTGCCTGATGGTGAAAGACAAATACCGTATGATCTCACCTTTAATTGGAACCTAATCAACAAAAAGGAACAAGCAAGCAAAATATAACCAAACGCACTGAAATTGAGAACAGGCTGCCAGTGATCAGAAGGGACAGGGGAAGGGATAATGGGAGAAAAGGGTGAAGGTTTTACAGGAACAACTATAAAGGACACATGGACAATAACAAGGCAGGGTGGAACCAGGGGAAGGAGGTGGGGGGAGCTGGGGGTGGTGGAAAGGGGGTGAGGGCAAGGAAGAAAACTGTACTTGAACAACAATGGAAGAAAAAAAAGAAATCTGCCTGAAAGTAGGACTTTTCAAGATGCGAACAGCATCAACTACATCAGTGCACTGTTCTAATTTGTCTCCTGAATAGCAAACTGTTTTTTTGAAAGTCTTCTTAAAATCATCCTTAGTGAATTCTGCATCATTGCACTGGAAAAAAAAAACAAAGATAATAGCACTCATTATCAGTGTCCTTAGATACCTTGCAACTGACAATGATCGGGACTCTTAACCAGGTTAAGTCTAAAAACACATGCAGCTAAGAGTAACTTGTTTCCTAAGAGCGTGATTACTTCTAGCTGACTAGACAGAAATGGGAAATCATTACTACACTGGAGGACTCTTACTCATTAGGTTTGGGTTGTCTCTTTCAGTGAGAATTAGAAAAGTAATCTAAGATCTTAGTAACAATCAAATATCACAGATGTCTATGTACAACCAGTAACCTTCCTTTCACCTTGTCACTTCTATTCCCCTCTTGAGTCCCCTGTTAAGTATATAGTCCATTCACATGCAAAGGACTCTGCAGTTTGGGATCCCTGAGAGTTCTGAGTGAGTATATTTGGGGAGAGGCAAGAACAACAGAATGACTTTAGGGCAAAATTCTCTCCTTAGGTTTGGAGCAGAAGGAAGTGACTGTTCTCTGTGGGCATCTGTCACCATTTCAGAGGGGAATGAACCCTCAGGGGCTGGGGTTCTGGCTACAGAGAAACCTTCTGACTAACTGTTACTCTCCCTGGTGAGCATAAATCCTGAATTTTAAAACTTACTCACTTCCTAAACCCTTGCTTATATGGCCTTTCATACGATGAGAGAAACTCTAAAATTTCCCAGCACCAGGAAATGAAGGCAGAGTGACTTAATGGGAGGAAAATGAAATGGAAACAAGGGAGCCACTTACCCTGGGGATAGTAAAGAATTCATTCATGGCCAGCACAAAATATCCCACACAGGGCGTAGTCTCCCTTATTTAGTTTCTCCTTGATTTTCGTCCAACTTCCTAAGTTTCTTTAGGCATCGAGAAGCCTCTTCAACCTGGTGAGAAATATATCAATAAGAGAGTTACTGACATAGTGCAATGGCTGCCTATTGCACTGTGAAAGATTCCCATCAAATCCAGCAGAAATCCAAGGTGAAGATACAGGCAGCTCATGCTTTTCTCTCCCAGGGGACTTCAGATCACATATCGCACAAGTGCCCATGTCAAAAGTCAGGTAATATCATGGTGGCCTATATTGATGGTTTGCTGTTGTTACTCACATAATTTTCATGTGGAATATTTGGGAAAACTTTGCTCTCTAAAGGGCCATAGACATTTAAGAGGAGGAATGCACATTTCTGCAAAAGAAAAAAGGCAGTGAATTAAAAACAGCTTGGAGAGAATGAGCCCATAGGCATGTCCAGACACACGCATGCCTACCCCAGTCTTCTGGAAGTTTCCCCAAACTGGTATTGCTCTTGGACACTAACAGGTAATGGCTGAGTATTTTCCTGCAAACAGGTCTGGTGAGTTTGCAGCATGGTTGAGGTGCTATCAGAAAACTAGGTACCACTTGGCATCCACCCCCTCAACCTGTGATTGATGGACTTCTTACATGTGAGGAGAAAGGAGAATGCTTAGGGTTCAAATTCAACTTACCAGCTTCTCTTCAGGCCCCATAACCTTCACCAGGACTTCAGATTCCCTGTAATGTTGCTGTATTGGAGGGTTTCCTATTGTGCAGTATGTGCACTTCCAAGCATTCCTGAGATGTCAGATATAAATGAGCAAGGAAAGGACCAGAAACTGTCACTATCACTATGGCTACCACTGTTCTCCTTTCACGAATGGCCAGTAGGCAAACAAGAAGGATGGATACACTTCTCAGGCTCTCTACAATTTTTATGTGATGACCCTCCTCCCATAGAGGGTAGTCACAGGGGGTAAGTGGGTGGAGGGCAGTTTCAGGGTGAGTGGTGGGTTCTTCTTTCCCCATCTGAGCTGCTGAGAGCACCAGGAACACTACCCACCAGGCCAGAGTGTTTGAAACTGTGCCCTAACTCCTGGAGGCCTCAGGCCTCCATTAGCCTGTTGAGAACATGCACAATGAGGAAACCAGACCATGTATCCTTCCTTTTCTAAATAAACACAAAACACAAAGAGCTGGCATTTCCACTTCTATAAACAGGGGTCTGTGCTGGGAGAGTTCTGGAAAGGACAGTGACATTATGAAGGCAAAGGACCCAGCCATTGGCCTCAGCCTCCCAGAGGCTAGAGAATGTTTCCCTCCTGCTGCCAGCATCTTTCAACAGCTCCTGGGATCATACTGCTGACCCCTGTACCTCCAGCCCAGCTCTGTCCCCATCAGGACACAAGGAAGAATCCCGCAGGGGGGAGTGAGCATTGCAGGAAGAAGGGTCTATAAAATGAGAGAAGGGGTCTGCATCTCACAAACCTTCTAATCTCCACAGGTGGGAGGTGACAGCCCTCATGAAAGACTCTGGGACAAGTACCACAGCCAACGAGCTTTCCTCCATCCTGGCAGATCACACATGTGCCTGAGTTTTCCACCTAGAAGATAAAACAATGACCACATCCCCATGAGCTTCTGACAACCAGCACTGTGGGAATCTAGGACTCATGGCCTTTGTGCGAACCTTCAGGGACTCCTCTGTGTTTCACTGAGCTGTGAAGGAGAGCACAAAATGGGGGTTTCAGAAGAAAGATTCTTGTTCTGCTGTGAAGTTCAAGAGAAGCTTTTGTGACCAGACTGGAGAAGTTTTTTTTCTGTTAAACCAGAGATCCTAACACAGAACCACAGGCAACAAAACAAGAGGATGATTTCATAAGAATCTGAATCATCTCATTACCTTGCAGATAGAACAAGGTTCTGAAATAAAGTGTTAAGTCCATTTGCATACACCACAGTGACTAACATTACTGTTGGAAAAGGGGTATGTTGAGAAACTAGTAAGATGGGATAAACATTTGAGAAAGCACTGCATCCTGTATTCTTGGCTGTAGGCTTCCTTGAGTTGAATGGCCTGTTAGGGCTTCCTGGACTGTAGATTCACTGCCCAGAGGGACCCAGGGCCTGTGGCACTGCCTTTGGGTTGGAAAGACCATGACACAGATGGCCAGGTGGTACCTGGGAGGATGGAGGCCTTTGGCTCTAAAAGCCTGAGGAAGATGCCCCATGACTCAGCTTGGCATGTAAGGTGTGGAGGCTCCATCTCTCTGTGGCCAGGCAGTAACAATTGCATTGTTGCATAAACAATGTGAAGGTCTTCTTCCCCCCACTAAAGTACTCAACTAAAACTGTAGTGTTACCTGTCTCAATATAAATAACTACATTTCATTTTATTTGGAGAAGGTAAAATTTGACAGCATTTGCATCCAAGTCTTGTAGTACAACTCCTTCCCATTAAACCCAATTAAATTTATAGAGCAGATATGAAGATACACTGTATTATATACAAACACGTGTTTTCAAGACAAAGAACTGGCCTGTGGCTGAGCCCTTTGTTAATGAAGGAAGCACAGTGTAAGGACTAATATTAAAGCTCACTGTCAGGTGCTGCTGTGACATCTGGTAACACTGAGATGGTCTTAGAGGGCCGGTCTGCATGTGCCTCTACCCACCCTGCTGTCCTGGACAGGGTCCCACAGCTAAATAATGCTCCTTGTCAAGGGACTACCACTGACCTGCCCATGTTGGAATATCAGGTTTCAGTTCTCTGTCAGCCATGGAATTTTTCACATAGACCAGCCACAGCCTCCTATGGAAACATGGGATCCCCCTCACCCTCCCAGCCCCTGGTTGTCTACTCAGCTATGCAGGGAAACCTTAGTGAGGCCTGTGGGTCTGGCTCTGCCCTTCTTCCTTGGTCTGGGAGTAGACATGACTAATAACACCGGTCAACCCATCTGTGCAGTGACAGATGCCATTACTTCCCATCTCTCAAATGTCTGGTGGACATCCCACCCTCATCAATAGGATGAACAGGAGGTGATTACAACAAAAAAAACACTTTGTAGTACGCTTTTAAAACGAAAAGTCAGTAATTACATATGAGTGTGGATCAATCAGGAACGATATGAGCCCCTTTTGCTTTCTTGGTTCTGCCTTCTGAGAAATTCCAGGTAGTTTGAGAATCACTTGAGGGTTATTCTATCCCAGATGGAAACATCCTATCTATCCCATGGTCTATTGGAGAAATTCCTCCCCTCTTGTAACCATCTGAGGTGACACAAATGAGATTGGTTTGGGGACTGGCCCCTGCATTGATGAGTGCTGGGTGGAGGGAAGTGGGCTATTGAGGAGCAGGAGGAGGCAGGGATGACAACATCCACCCTTGTCTACTGTGACTCCTTCTGCTTTCTCCAAACACATGCATTCTGTGCCATCTTTCTCCTGGGATTACTCCCTCAGACTCACTGCTGTATCACTTTCCCTTCCATCCTTGTCCTCCTCCAACATTTACACAGAATCCCTCAGGTTCCCATCATTGGCCATTCAAATGGCCCCAGATGATCAAATCACTCTCAAAGCTGCAGTTCTATTGCTATGTCTCCAGCTCCCAGCTGTCCAGCCTGTCTCCTGCCTTTGTACACATCCCTGTGTTCACCCAGCATCTTCTCCTGGGCCCTTGGATCACACCCCAAACTCATGCAGTCAAAACTGAATGTATTCTCTTGTCCCCACATCCACTACCTGTTCTTTCTTGATGCTTCCATTTCATAAAACTACAACTTCCACAGAAAACCTGAGAATCCAACCTGGGTCTGTACACTTCTTCTTATTGCAAATAAAAACTATCCCCACTCTTTCTCACAGTAATTTTTAAGCTTCCAGTGTTGGTTCCATTGTCTCTGCAGGGACCATCACAAACAGGGATGCTGAGACCCTAATGAACCAAACAACCACAGTACACAAAGAACAGAAAGGTCCTTCTTGAAGCCAATGGGCAGAGTAAGAGTAATTTGGTACACAGCCATGTTATTTCTCTTAATGTAGGAAGTAATAAAGATAAAAAGCCACTAAGATGTATTTTGAATCTTGTTCAGGGATTTGGGATAAATAGTCTTCACTTGGGGGAATCAGGATTCTGGTCATTTCTTTTAATTTAAAATATATCCAAATATGAGAAAGTGCAAGAACCAAGGATGTTGGGAACTACCCTGCCTGGTTTCAGAAGCTGTAAGCTCCCCATGGCTAAGGCTGAGTGAGTGACCTTTCAGACCATAAGCCACTAAGGAGACAAAGCTTATCTCCCTGGGAGGAGCCCTGCTTCTGCTCCTTTTTCTTTACCCTGCCTGGCGCCCCAATGCTTGGTGGGTTAGGCAATGACAGGGTAAGATTTCCCAAGGGGGCAACGACCTAAGACAGGCACTATCATGGGGAGGACCCAGGGAAGGACTTGGGGGGCTATAGCAAAAGGGGGTGATGAACCCTCACCCCTCGGCTTTCACATAGCCTGAGTCCTCATTCTGTCTGTGAGAAGTACCCTAATCTCTTGGCTGCCTCACTTCCCCTGCCTGACTTAAGCCTGAAACAATGAGAGAGGGTGGTGCCACCCTGTGCTGGAAAGGGCAGGTGAACAAGCCTAAGAAAGAATACATAAAATCCAATGGGAGGGAACTGGGGAGGGTTCGGTGGGTGGGCTGGAATGGGAGTAAAAGGGAGAAAACTGTACTTGAACAATGATTAAAATTTTAAAAAAGAATACAAAAAATCCTGTGAAACCTGCTTTGCTAAGAATGTTCTCAAGTAAATGATACTTGTCTAGGCAGGAAATTATTTTGTTCCCCAAAGTTTTGTAGTCCTTTAGCTAACAGACCCTGACTCAGAATAAACCCTTGTAGTTCTTTGTATGCTATCTGTTGTTTGATCCTTACTGCCTGACAATGATTAATGAACCTTACCTGTATTCTTGTATAAATTGAACCCAATAAAATCTCGTCAAGGCAAGGGTTGGCACACTCTCCTCTTGAGAGAGTAGCCATCCCATCCCTTTTTCTCCACAGGACTCGGGAGTCCATGTGAATTTGTCTCGTATCTCATCCAAACACTGCAGACACTGTGAGCCGGTACATGCGTCACCAAGGGACATCTTGTCAAGAGCTTCCATTCCATGTTCTGGGAGAATCCTGAATCACATGCACAATGGAGACTGAGACTGCTCCAGCATGGAGGCCTGAGACAATTTCCTTCTCTTCACTGTAGGGACTCACAGTCCCTCTCACTCTCCAGAAAGTGGCAACCCTCTTCCCAGAAGGACAAGGAAATAACAAACATAACCAGTGCATAAGAATCTTGCATCCCCAATCTTTTAATCAAGACCAGACTCTTATCCCTTTGGCTCTTTGTTTCTCAGCCCATCTGCACACTTGAATTGTCAGAGGAAAGCATGTAAAGTAATAACGTCCTGGTTCCAATGTCTGAAATTCCGATCAATTGATCTGGGTGGGGCTTAGGCATTGGCACTCTCCTTAAATCATATAACGAGTAGCTTATGTATGAAAATCATCTGGAGACTGTTTAACAATTCTAATGTTTGAGTCATAATTCAGAACAGTTAAATCAACATTTTGTCTAGAGTGGGATTCAGGTAATGTCATTTTCCAAAGGTGACTCTAGTACAGCCTAAATTGAGATTTAGCCTGAGCCACTGTGGTTATTAATGCATGAGAATCTTATAAGTCAGTGTTGAATTGGCCTGTAATATCTATCCTGGGAAACATTATGTTTAACAGGAGTGATGCTACTCTTCCTGGAACAGTTGTTTTCTCCTCCCCACAGACCGTTGGTTACTGGCAGTATGACAGGACCCTCTGGGTCACCATCTCTTATTCAGGGTCCTTGGAACCATGCACATGTCCCAGAGAAAAAATCCACCACCACCTGCCGCTCTTTTAAGCCACCACCCTAATGATAAAATGAGTGCAAGGTCCTCCATACTCTAATTCTTCTTCCAGAAGGTCACACCCCTCTCCATTCATCCAAATTGCAAGATGGAACCTATCTGACTTTTCACAGGAAACCAACCACTGCACACTACACTTGCAGTGCTTTTGTACCTTCAGTAGAATGACATGGCCTCTTTTCCGTCAGGCAGCCTCAGCTTTTATCTCACCCAGGGCAGAGAGGTCACACACTAGTGTGATCCACTGTCAAGTGACCTGAGAAATGATCATGTCACTGCCTGTCTCTTGGGTACTCTAGAGTCCCTGATCCCCAGTACTTATTGTTACATACTAGATAATTGAAGTTGAAACAATCCTCAAGTGCAGGGATATTATTTCTATCTTCTTCATGGACATTGGGCATTTCTATGCACTTCAGTAACTGTATGTTGAAGGAATAAATAAATGAGTATGGTTTCACTTAGGAAAAGAGAACATTTGTTATCTTTTTAGTAAACATTAGCATATAATAAATGGTTGTTCTGGCTGATTATTTCAGATTACATGACAACACACAGCAGCTGTCACCAGAAAGTATAGGTAGCCCTCTGATGACAGGAAGCTGTCATGTGGTGCCAAGATTCACATTGAAATTTCCAGAAACCAGGGTCTCCACCAACAAGAGAAAATCTGGGAGATACAGAGGACCCACCAAGGTAGTAGTGTATCCTGAGATCTGCCAGTTTGAGTCACGTTGGTTCTTGATCAAAAGACAGAAAATATATGAAAAATTGAACCTGGTTGCTACAAAGTGTTGCACCCAGAGATAAGGATAGGACCTGTGTGTTGGAAGTTGCTAGCTCCTTCAGGTAATCCAGATAAAGTAACTCTATACCCATAGAGAATGGTAGAGACTTTACAATAGTCATTGACTAGACCCAACAGTAATTTCTCTTTACTAAACACAGTGGGTGAAATGTCCCAATGGCCAGGTGTTTGAAAGACCCAGAACATCAAATAATGTAAAGTCCTGGACCTCACATTCCCAGTGTTAGATGAAGTCCCAGAGGCCAGCTCTCTGTAAGTTAATGTAGAATTCTGTGAATGTCCTGGGTGGCCATTTCTACCTGAAGAGTGCAAGAAGGCACCTTGCCCCTTCCTCTCCTTCTCAAGTTCTCATTCATACCAGATGTTGTGAAAAGTACCACTTTGTCCTGAATCTACACTGCATATTACATATTTTTGTTGCCTCCACGGTCTTCTTCCACAGAGGGAGAAACCACCTTCACAGATGGAAAGGAAGCCTGCTCAGCCTCTGAGGTGGAGCCAAAGGGGGCATCAAAATAAACAATTTCCAGGTCAGCCCCTCACACAGGCTACATCCACCTCCCAAGAGCTCCCTCCCCAACAGCAACATCCTCATGAAAAATTTGCCAATAATTTCCACTTTAGAAAAGAATTATGTATGTCTATTTGTTCATTTTACTGAAGGATGGAAGAGTATGTAAGTAATCAGAGAAGAAATATGCTCTTAGTTTCCTGTGTCATGAAGTAGTATATGGTTTTGTATCTGTCCCAAGATAGACTATCTACTGGATGGGTTCATCTGGATGATGAGGAGCAAACTTTTTCTTCATTACATTTCATTAAAGTTAGGAAATAGTAACCTTTATCAAAAAAATCTGGGATGGACTTGAAGATGACCCTATGACCTTGTTAAGAAAGGTTTTTATGCATTCCATAATCATGTTTGCTTTTACAACTTTGACAACTTTACAACATCTACATGTATAGCTAAAACTCAGCTATATGAGATCTATTTTAGATGGCTCCTCATCATCCCCATCTGAAATGATTTACAACCCACAGATAACCTTGCATGCAACCTAATGTTCAAAGGAGCAACTCTGAAGGCACACGAAATATGTTCGTATGTATGTATGTATGTACATACATAAATAAATAAAGGCACAGGAGAGGAGAAAAAGAAATAATGTTAACTATGTACTGAGAAACCATAAAAATGATGCAGTACATATAAAATTAGTTATGTAATGAAAACTTGTATAAAGTAATAATTACCTTTTTTGTAATGGGAGGTGGATGGATAAATCCAAGCTGAAAGAAAAAAGATCCAAGTTGATGCTTAGCCTGTGTTTAAGTTTTGTGAGTCTGGCATTCCCACCTCCTTATAAATATTTCTGCACAAATGTCCAACTGTCATCTCAAAGTCCAGGTGTCTCATTGAGGAACCATCTCCCTCTCCTCACCTGTTCTTCTAGGTCCATCCACAGAACCCAGAAATACATCTTTGGAAACTTTTCCCTTGCTTTTGTGCATTTTAAAATAACTTTTCAGAGGTTTTCCTTCACAATCTCTTTGGCACCTCTCACCCCCTCTCCATTCCCACCAGTGCCACTCACACCTGCCTCCTCACACCAGGGCTATTCAACCAACACTTGGGTCCCACACCTACAGAATGTCAGACACCTGGACAATGTTGGGCACATAAAGGACAAACCCCAGAAGGGTCTAGAAAGACAAAAGGAATCCATGGAAAAATAAGAATAAGACAATGTGAGAAGGACCTTACTTGAGAGTTCAGGGGGCCCAGGGAAGGGGTGACCAGGCAGGTCAGCCAGGGAACATTCAGACAGGAGTGACATGGGAGCTGAGCCTTGAAGATTGACTATACATTTATTGGGCTGAAAGACAGTGAAGTCAGTTCAAGTCCCCATGTTGTTTGAGATACTGTTTTACAGATGTCATATCAAAACTCAGGACAATCCCTGGTTCTGCACTGTGTATGTTATGAGTTTAAACTTCTTAGCTTGACATTAAATCTCTCTGCCAACACCAACAATTGATGGATTTTGCTGTATCTCATATAATCTGTCTATATCAACTCAGATCATGTTAATTATGGTTCTGGTTTTACAACACTCTTTCTCTGGAGTGTGTTCTGCCTACTTCTTTGACTGTAGACAGTCCTCTTTCTTTCAGTGCCTAAAGTTATCTGCAAGCACCTGGGTCAGAATGACCTTTCCGTCCTCCAGGCCCCTTCATGCATACCAACAGAGCCCCTTTGACAAATGGATGGGTTCCCTTGTACTGAGGTATGAGTGTGGGGCACCTCTTCCTGTGAAAAAGATAAAGTCTGGGGCCCCAAGGCTGCATCCACAAGTCAACATATATTTGGTGAACAAGTGGTGACCTCCTCTTTGACCACAACAAAGAAAGTCACACCTTCTGTCCCCGTCACTGAAATACCTCTATCAGAAGTCTTAGGGGTTTTCCACCACAGGTCAGGTTGTTCCTCCAGTTATTTGCTGTTCCGTAGCCTCCTCTGATTTCAAACTCCCTGGGGGTGAACCAGTTTCCATCTTCAGTTCTTATGCACTTCCTTGTGGCTCCTGTAAGACCAGGATATATTGATCCTGACACCTCTTTGTCCTCAGTGCTCAGAGGTTGGCCTCCCACCATTTGGATCTGATGTCACCCATCTGGGTTCAAGATCAATAGCAGGAGCTTTTGATCTCCCCTTTCATGCTTCAGGATCCCTAAACACAGCCTGTAAATTGCCTCCAAGGAGACTTGTGGCTTTCAATTAAAATCTCAGTAGGGGCCCTGCAGCTCACAATGGCACTAAGGCAACATCCATGTCCTGTGTTACAACAAGTTTCTTTGACTTTACCATCATTATTGAGCAGATATGTTTCCATCTTTGAAATCATGGGTAGCTGATACTAAAATAATTGTGAAATATTAATCAGTAGAAAGTTTAACTGATATGTAAAAGATATTCACATACTTCATGACATTATCATTAGATAAAAGAAAATTAAACCACAATCAAATTCTACAGTCTAAGCACTAGGGTGGCCACTACAAAAAGACAGACAATAACAAGTGTTGGTGAGAATGCAAAGAAATTGGAACCCTCAGATTTTGTTAATGAGAATTAAACTGGTACAATACCTTTAAAAATTGTTTTTTTCTCAATAAGATAAACAGAGAATTACCATATAATTCTGCAATTCCACACCAGGGTATATACTAAAAAGAATTTTAAAAATATGTTCACAAAAAGCTTTATGTAAAACAGTATTATTCATGATAGCTAAAGAATGAGAAGACCCTAACTGAAGGCTAAATGCAATATTGCATATCCATATTATGGCTCACATAGGACAATAAAAAGAAAGAAGTATAATACATGGTACTGTGTGTATGAACCTTGAAACTTCATGCTAAGTGAAGGAACCAGTGACAGAAAGGCAGATGTTATGTGAGTCAATTGAGATAAAATGCTTAAATAGGTCCATTTATAGGTCAGAACACAGATTAATCAGTGCTTAGGGTGGGCGATGAGCCTGGGGTGGGAAAGGGCACTGACAGCTGAAAGGCATCGGGTTTCCTTTGGTGGGGACTAAAATGTTCTAAAATTAGATTGTGAAGATGGTTTTATAGTCTTGTGAATGAACAAAATTTAAAAAAAAAACAGTAAAATCTATACTCTAAATGGTGAATTATACATGTGTGAGTTATATCGCAGGGAAGCTGTTTCAAAAGTGTTATGATACAAACATTTATTTATATTAGTGTTCTCATACCCATATTAAAAATAATCTGATATGAAGTTCATCATATATACAATTAGTAAAAACTTTTATAATGTTAAAATCACAAAACACTTTACATTCATCTGTAAACAAAATCTCAAAGTCACAGCAGGAGGCAGGCTTGTAATTATTTTCCATTTCTTAGATGGGAAGTTTCAGGCTCCAGAAGGTCCCAGTCTTCACACTGTCACTCTCAGCAGAGCTGAGGCTGGGATCAGGTCTTCTGACTCTAAACTCTGTGGTCTCCTCACTGCATCTAACACCCTGTCCTGGTGGTGATTATCCAGGTGGGATACAGGACATGAACACAGAGACTGAGGACCTCTTCCCTCTTACATCTGACTCAAAGTAAAATGTGCAATATTTTCCACCCAGAGACTGACATTCCTTCACTTGTCTTTGGGCATCCTCACGGGCACTTCCACGTGGGGGTGAGCACTTGATATGCAGCACTGCTTAAAGTGCAAAAACATCATCTTAGGGACCGTTTCCTTCTTCTTTCAAGCCACAGTGAGGCCTCAATTCCTTGAATGACAGGAAATTCACGTGGGTAATTATATTACTGCATGTGATTCCTTCACAGAGGGCCTGCAAATTAAAATAAACCCTGAAACCTACCTCGTTCCAATTTCCTCTTAATTAACAGCCCCATGTTCTCTTTACAAGTCACAGGAAGTATTTCAGCTTGAAAATCCACAGGCACACCTGGCTGCTCTCCTGTCCCTGAAAGAGAAGATACTTCATTCTGTCTCATTTTACAATTGCACATGGAAAACTTCCTGTCATGTAGTTGTTGTTTCTATAAAGTCATAGAGATAGTTGGGGAACTTTATTCCACAAATCTGCAGTTTCAGAGTCTTTCTTTCAGTGACATTTCTTTCATTGACATTGTGGTTTCAGATACACAACCACAGAATGTCAACTTTGATTTCACCTCTCAGAACCCCCACAATCAGAATGTTTTAGCAGAGACAGCAGGAGTCAGTGCAACTGTCTTAGCTCCCCATGCAGTCAGCCCCCTGATACTTATGTGACAGTGGTACGTACAGCTGCTGTCCTGGTAGAAGGGAGCTCTGCAGCTTGGCGACTTCCCTGCACATAGGTCACTGGAGACCAAGTCCAAGACTGTACCTGTCTCTTCCTGTGTGAGCTCTGACTCTGGAGCAGAGGGGACAGTGATGGTGTGACCTAATGGAGATGGTGTCTACCTGCTGTTTGTGTTCACTGCTTTGCCTCATTTCTCCCCCAAATCAGCTTTCTCCAAAGCTGAAAGGGGAACCCAAGGAACTCTAGACAACTGCAAATTGCATGGCTAACTGGACCATTCACCACCTGACAATGTTGTGCCCTTTGTTAAAAGCCACAATCAATGCTCTGATCATCTAACTTTGTGATCTCCTCTCCTCCTGTCCACACACTTCTCTCTTAGGGCTCTTTGGTCACCAAAGGCAGCTGTCCCTAAAGAAGGCAGAAAGGGAACAGCTCCTTCCTTCATTGTGATCAGGACAAATGTGGTGGGCAATCAATGGGGTTACAGAGACCAATTCTGAAAATTCTAGATTGTGTTCTGAACCTTCCTGGGAATGATGCCTTGTTCTTTCCCCAATCAGCCTGTGGAGCACCTTCTTTGGTGTCCCTTGAGGATTCTGACTTAATTTTTGTTATATTTTTGAAAATCCCTGTTCCCTGCTTGCATGTGATCCTTCTGAATGGAAAGTCAAAGTGACAACAGGAGATTACTGGAAAGGAAGACAAAGTTAGAGACAGTGGAATAGTACATACAGGTTTCATGTCAGTGAAGGAAGAGCACAGACCCAGGCACCTGAGGACAAAACACCTGGGAGGTAGAGGACGTGGAGAGGCATTAATGATATTTGTCTTCTGGATCTGCCCTGAGTCCTCATTCCAGAAGGAAACCACCAGGTCCAGCTCTTTCACCATATGGTTGCTGAGTCTGCCACTCAGCATCAGATATGAAGAGTCCAGGGCTGCTGCTAACACCTGTCATCCCAAGTATAATGACTCTGGACAATGACCCCACACTGATTCTTAGTCATTCTCCAGAATGTTATCAGAGAACAAATGGTATCTGGCTGGTGTCAGGGACATAGGGGACAGATTGGATACACTTTCCTTAGGCTGTGTCCTTCCCCTCATCCTGCCCCTTCAAGGGCTAGAAACGATGAACAGAAGCAAAACCTGTAAGACCTATAGCTGAGAAACGGGCCAGGCTGGAGGCCATGTCCATCTTCTCTCTGACTGATGTACATACATCTCCTCATAGACCTCCACAGTGGCGAATACATTTTGCTCAGGGCACCACGTTCACATGCCTCTCTGATACAAACACAGTGACTTGCACCATAGGAGTGATCACAGGAGCCTAAAACAATTATGGTTTAGATTTGTTGAATGGTGCAGGAACCAAATCAACTGGATTGGATCTCAGCCTCCTTTGGTGATATTAATCAGATTGACTAGTGAAGTAGTATCCTCTTGGGGACACTGCCAGGTTCCACTATGTGTGGTGAGCTTGTTGGGAGGCAATTTTCTGAGGCATTTCCATGTACCTCATGGTATCTTTTCAAGGATTTTTGAATGACAAAGAGCCTTGGAAATTAGAGTCAATGTAGTGAACATTGTAAAAAATAAACAATTGCTGATTTAACAGATATAAACTAATCATATAAAGACAAAATATTCTTTTTTGTTGTTATTCTTTTTTGACTGTATGGAAGTTGGTAGATTTCTGTTGTGGCTGTAATAGATTCACATAAACTTTGCAGCTTAAAGCAAGTCAAATTTTTACCTTATACTTCTAAAGGTCAGAAATCTGATGCAAGTCTCACTGGCCTGAAGTAAAACTGCCCTCAGGGCCTTGTTCTTTTCTGAAAGCTGTAAGAAGGAGTTTATTTTTATGCTTTTCCAGCTGTAAGGGCTGCCCACATTTCTTGAGTCACTGCTTTCTGCTCTCGTCTCCAGTGACAGCCAGGTCCTACATTTCCGATCGTTCTTCCACAGGCATAAAACACTCTGCACAGCTGGAAAGTTACTGATTTTTAAGGACCTATCTAATTTGATTAGGCCCACCCAGATTATCCAAGATAATCTCCCCATCTCAAGACCATTAAGTTAATCACATTTTCAAACTCTCTGGTTGTAGAGAAACAAAGTATGGGTTCCATGGATTACACATAAACAGCCCTGTTTCTGTTGGTATAAAATTCTCAAGAACCAAATAGGTCTCCCATGTATGTCATGGGGATTTGCTGTGTTAGACAAAAGATTCCTCCACGGATCTTCCCTACATAATCACATACCTATTTCTGGCTTCTGCTGAGATAGCTGAGGGGATCTATGAGTCACACACAAAATCTCATCAAAGAACCTTCCTGCCCCTGAATACTCGGATCTTTCAATACTTCTGGGGCTCTAACAAAACATCATTGAACCACACTCTCAGTCATTCTGTAGAGTACACCTGCTTGATGGTGAATATTAATTTTAGCATCTTTTTCAACCCAAGTAAGCTGAGAATAACCCAAATCATCAAGTCCTGATGCCTTTTGGTTGAGCAGTTCTCCCCTCAGTTTATCCCATTTTCTTCTCACATTTTACTGTAAGCAGCAACAACAAAAAGACAGCTGCATCTTCTTCACCTAGAGATCACCTTAGTGTATATCCAGAAAGTTCTCCTTCCCACATATCTGCAGGAAAGGATTTTGGCTAACCTTTCTGTCTGTATATCATGAAGGATCCTCTTTCTCCAGTTTCCAAAAACATATTCCTATTTTCCTTCTGAGCCCTCGGCAGTCACACCATTAACCTGCATAGTCCTACACGTTTGTGCTGTTCAGGCTGATTTATGTATTCTCTGAGACAGCACAGGTTTTCTTTCCCACAGCCTTCCCTCCTCCTGAGTCCTCCGTAGGTCTTCAGCATCCACATTTCCACTCACAAACTGCTCAGTCTAGGCTTTTTCTATCATCCTACTTAAAATACTCCAGTGGCTCTGGCCACCACCCAAAGCCACTGCCACATTTTTAGGACTGTTTCACAGCTGTATCCCACTATTAAGAACCAAATGTATCCATGTGTATTATTTACATATGGATGCCTTAACAATTTACTACAAATAGTATCTTACAACAACAGAAATTTATTATCTAATTAGTATCATTTAATATTCTGACATGGCCCAACCGGGTGTGGGGTAACACAGAACATGGTCCCTCCACAACCTCAAAGAACAGATAGCTGCCTGGCCAGCAGCCACAAGGAACAAGAAAATGAAAACTCCGTATCTGGATGCCCCAGCCCTCTCAAGGCTCCTGTGTTAATCGTAACAAGGTAGAGCTTTCATTGCCATTACCACGTCACCAACCCTATGAGAAATGCCAAAGCCTGAGGCTGGGTGCAGCCTCTGTTGCCCTATCCACCACCATCAGTGCACTCCCCTGTAATGTGAGTAACAAATGGCATGTTCTCATGTGCTGGTCTCCAGGTGGTTCTTCCCCGAATATCACCAATACAAGTGCAGCTCCCCTGCTTGCAGCTCCTAAATTATACAAGGCTAAAATCAAGTTTTTAGCAGAACTTCATTGCTTTCTGGAGGCTGTAGGGCATAATCTGCTTCCTTGATTTTTCCTGCTTCTTAAGGTCACCCACATTCCCTAGTCTCCCGTGCATCTGAAGAGCCAGTGATATTGTACCTCTCTGATTGTTCCTCCAGAGTCACTTCTTCCTCTCTCCACAGCCAAGAAAGCTTCTCTACTTTTTAAGGGCTATCGAGTATATTTGGGCCACCCAGATAATCCAGGAAAATCTGCCCCATCTCAAAGTCCCTAGTTTAATTACACCTATAAAGTCTACTTGCCATGTAAAACAAGAGATTACAGGTTCCAGGGATTACAACATGGACACCTTTGAGAAGCCATCTCTTCAAAGATGTATTGTATCTACTACAATATTGTAAATAATAATGATGATGAAATTCTGGTATTTAAAAACTCATTTCTCATATTAAAAACAAGTAAAATCCACAGTGAAGATGGAGGCATAGGTGGACATACTTTGCCTCTTCCCACAACCAAAGAAGAAATTACAACTAGACCTCAAAACAAAACGCATGCAGAACCATCAGAAAATGGAGCTCGATGGAAGTCCAACAACCAAGGATTTAAAGAAGCCTCGTTCATTCAGACAGGTAGGAGGGGCGAAGACGTGGAGACAGGAGGAGAGGGGGTGAAACAGTCAGTCCCACATTCATTTGCAGTGAATAAAAATTGGGAGGGATACCTTGGGAGTGAGGGACCCCAACTCCAGACCAGACCACACAACCCAGGGTTCCAACACCAGGAAGTTAGATCCCCAGAACTTCTGGCTAAGAAAACCACTGGGGGTTGGGGAAGCAGAAGAAACTGCAGATTTGCAGGAAGATCTGCTTAAAGGGCCTGCATGGACTTGGAACATTCGCATACTCACCCACTCCAGGATTCACCACCAGGGCAACAGCTGGAAGGGTGTCAGTTACATGCAGGGAGTGGGTGAAGTGACTAGAAATGGGGCGAGTGCCAGGCAAACCTCCAGAAACGAGGCAACAACATTGTCCCCTCTCTCAGCCCTCCCCACACACAGAGCCACAAAGCAGTGAAATGAGTGGCCCCACCCTGGTGACTACCTAAGGCTCCACCCCACACAACTTACAGGTGCCTTTTGGACAGCAGGCCACAGTACTAAGGCTGGGAGTCAAAGCAGCTCTACCTAATACACAGAAACAAACACAGGGAGGCAGCCAAAATGAGGAGACCAAGAAATATGTCCCAAGTGAAAGAACAGAACAAAACTCCAGAAAAAGAACTAAACAAAAATGAAGATAACCAACCCACAAGATGCAGAGTTTAAAACACCGGTGATCAGAATGCTCAAAGAACTCATTGAGTATGGCAACAATATAAAAAGGAAGAAAGAAATCTTACAGTAAGTGAAATAAAGAAAAATCTACAGGGAACCAACAGTAGAGGGGAGGAAGCTAGGATTCAAATCAACAATTCGAACATAAGGAAGAAATAGGCATTCAACCAGAACACCAAGAAGAAAAAAGAATTCAAAAAAACAAGGATAGTATAAGGAGCCTCTAGCACATCTGTAAACACACCAACATCCAAATCATAGGGATGTCATAAGGAGGAGAGGAAGAGAAAGAAATGTGAAATATATTTGAAAAAATAATGAAAGACAACTTCCTTAATTTGGTGAAGGAAACAGACATACAAGTCCAGGAAGCACAGAGAGTCTCTAACAAATTGTACCCAAAGAGGGCCACACCAAGACACATCCTCATTAAAATGTCAAAAGTTAAAAAAGGGAGAGAGAATCTTAAAGAAAAATGAAGACAGTTACCTGCAAAGGAGTTCCCATAAGACTATCAGCTGATTTCTCAAAAGAAACTTTGCAGACTAAAAGGGACTGGCAAGAAGTATTCAAAGTGGTGAGAAGCAAGGACCTACCACTTGATTACTCTATCCAGAAAAACTATCATTTAGAATGGAAGGACAGATAAAGTGCTTCCCAGACAAGGTAAAGCTAAAGGAGTTCACCATCACCAAGCCATTATTACATGAAATATTAAAGGGACTTATCTAAAAAAGAAGAATATCAAAACTATGAACATTAAAAGACAACAAATTCACAATTATCAACAACTGAATCTAAAAAAAAAAAAAAAAAGCTAAGTGAACAACCAGAACAGGATCAAAATCATAGATAGGGAGATCATTTGGAGGGTTATCAGCTTGGAGAGAGAAAGGGGAGAATGGGGGGAAAGGTTAACAAACACAATTAGTAGATAAAAAATAGACAGGTGGATTTTTTGAGTAGTATAGGAAATGGGGAAGCCAAAGAATTTATATGCATGATCCTTGGATGTGAGCTAATTGGGGGACTCCTGGAGGGAAGGGGGGTGCCAGGTGGAAGGGGGAAAAAATTGAAATTGTAATAAAATTATCAATAAAATACACTTTAAAAATTCTTAAAAGTCACATCGGTAACCCAGTATCTCCCAAGTTTGTTTCTCAAAACTTTAGCTCCTTTAACTCTACAAAATAGTCATTGTCATTGTTTTGTAGTCACTATTCCTTTAATAAAATACATTTATAACTCCTGACTGCTGTGGCTCTCTGGGTCAGGCACCATCCCACTGACCAAAAGGTCGCTGGTGTGATGCCCAGTCAGGGCCATGTTTGGGTTGCAGGCCAGGTCTATGGTTGGGGACGAGCAAGAGGCAACTTATTCTCTCATGCATCAATGTTTCTCTCCCTTTTTCTCCCACCCTTCCCCTCTCTGAAAAATAAATAAATATATAAATAAAAATCTTTTAAAAAATTAAAAATAAATAAAAATAACAAAAAGTACAATCTTGTCCACTCTTACATGTTTTTTTCTTGGCTTCTTGTGGAGTAGACGTTTCTCTAAGATCCACAGTACCTAGAAAATAACAGGTGGTGGTGAGAATAGTGAAATGAAAAAATAAAGGTGCAGATCTTTGGATGATTCACACTGTAGAAGGCTTGAGTTTACATGGTGTTTGATTTATTGTTTCTCTCTTCCTTCTAAAGGATCCTAAAAACCTACTGAATTGAGAAGTAAGAGTCCAGGGCATTAAAAAAACACCTTAAATATCTTCATATTTCATATTATAAAGGGATAAGAATAGATATCCTGTCCTGCCTCAGTTTAAGGTTTTTGTTAGATGTCAGAGCATCCTCAGTTGGGTGTTCAAAGAGCAGTGGAGTTACACTAATTGCTTTCCATATCAACAGTCTTTGGAAGCAAAAGAAAACACAGCTGTTAACGTATATGAGTTGTGATTCTTCTAACTCTGTACATTGAAGAAAGATTTAGAACAAAAGGCATGATGATGATCATTTCTGCCTCTTCTCATCTTAAGGAAAGATATCACCACTGAATGAAGCAAACCACAATCTTTAGCCCATATGCAGAACCAAAGAAGTTTTGAAAACCAACATTTTTTCATTGGTTTGCAGCTAACTGATTTGGAAGGGAATCTGGACTTAGCTGCCATGAGTGCATGTAAAATTTTTATTTATCACACTTGATGTGAATTCACACAATTTCCAGAAGCATTAATATTTGAGAATGAGATTCTGCTCTAGACCCCTTTGTGGCCTTTTATAACAAACAGAATATAAAACATAGTGTCATTCTTTTCTTCTCATTTAAACTTTATTTTATTATTTTATTACTTTACTTTATTTATTTTATGTTATTTCATTTCTTTTCATTTTATTTTATTTTATTTTATTTTACTGTTGCTCAAGTACAGTTGCCTGCATTTTCCCCTCACCACTCCCCCAAACCCCAGTCAGGGGAGGGAGGTGGGGATGGCATAGTGTCTTTCTGAAACAATAAAACATTATTATTATTTTACATGTGGCTTCAGAAGTTTTGAATAGAGGATTTTGGATGTTTGCTAGGAGTCCAGGCTATTATTTCAGCCTCTTCTGGTAACTCTTCATGTGATGGGTAAAGATCCTGAAAAACGTGTAGATACAGAGAGCAAACTGATAGCTGCCCAACTGTGGGGGAAAAACAGTTATCTCTGGCCTCACTTTCCGGTCGTTGTAAACATAAACTGATACTGCAGTTTGCAAAGGCATGTTCCAATGTCACTATATAGGACAATGTTGTGGTGGGGGTCATCTGTCAAAATCTATAAATGGAATTTGATAGTAATGATGGGGCTCAGCCAGTGAAACAACAGTTTATAATGCCTCTTGCTCACTCCTATTTTCAAATTAATTAGATGAAATTAAATGATCAAAGTGGTTCCCTAGAAGTAATCGAATCTATATATATGGAAAATATCAGCATAAGATTCATCAGGAATACAAAGTTCCACATTTAGAGTCGGGATTTTTGTTTTCCAGGAATACAATCCTAAAATTCTTCTTTAGTGCAATTCAGATTCATGAACAGGTGGCTTCTTGGGTCTCTCCTCCTTTGCTTGATTCTAAGGAGTCAGGTTATTGATCACTGCATGTAAGCACAGGGTTCTTCAGGTGTTTCAGTGTATGCCCAAGAAACCGACTCAGTAGGAAATTCCTTGATAAAACCTGCAAACATCTTGAAAACCCATGTATATCATGGCCTGTACATAGGCCACCTAGACTGCCTTGTAAGTCACCTTCTTTGCAGGTTAGTGATGTGCCATTTACTGTCCCCAGAGCAGAGACCAGTCCCTGGCAAGGGGCCCCTCTGCTCTGTTTGGGCCTTACCTACCTACACTTGTCTCTCTTTCCTGTCTTACCCCTTCTATTGTCATTTCACACTTCCTTCATCTGCTGTTTCTTTGTGGGCAGACCTTGGAAATCCCCTCCTCCTGCCCCCTGCTGTGCCTTGAAATCATCTTCTCTTGTGTCTGAGCCATAGATCTATTTTGAAATCACTTTTAGAGTAGTTTGCCTACATTGAGACAGAAGTCAGACTGTGCACTCTCTAAAAACAGCAGCAAACTTTCATTTTACATGGATAGACATAGTGAGCTATTAGAACAAACGTATTACTTACAATATTGCTCTTTTGTAACATCAAGATCATGTCACATTTTTATTTGTTTGTAGGTCTTTTCCTAGAATGTTTTCCTAAATAGGCATGTTTCCAATATCTGCTGAGAAAGTAGAAAGGGACACCAACCACCAGTCTGTGCACCAAAGAGCTAGAGAGTGTATCATCACTCTTGCTGCCCAAGGTTTAGGAGACAACATTTTGGTAACCATGTCAAACTGCAGCTTTACCAAGGAAATGATGCAGAATCAAGAAAGCTATTATCTCCAGGAGACTTTCTGGAAGACCTGGAAACATTTCTGTGATTGTGTTTCCTCATCTAGAAACCAGAGTAACACTGTCCATCCTGCTTACCCCTCAGAGTTGCTGTGAAGGAAAAAGTAAGACACTTTTGCAAAGGTCCTTTGAAAAGTCACTATAACACTTGCTGAAAAACCCTGTAGAAATAATACTTTGGGTTTCAAAATACCTTCTCCATTTCTGCTAACACTAGCTAGCTGGAGGAACTGACCCTTGATACTATTCAAGGTTTGTGATCAGATGACAATGTGACCTTCCAACAAAGAAATATTTAGCTTTCCTTTCTCTATAGAAATCACTGTGTAAATCCAACACTTTATAGTCATAGAATTAGTTTTCAAACAAATTTATTACTTTGCTAGCCTATTTCTACTATAAAATCAATAGATGATGCATAGGTAGATTAACAGGACCTGTAAATTAATAGGCCTCATCTTCAAAAAATGTAAATATAATGATTTCTTATTACTTTGCACATCCCCAAAAGATCAAGATAAATAAATGCAGAGAATGGGCAGGATAAACTGGATCAATGGTGCAGAATGAACTCAGAACAGATGCGTCGGGAAAGAGTAGGCCTTGGTTCAGTTTCCTGCAGCCCAGGCCTTGAGCTCCCACCTCCTTACCAGGTTTCATTTTCGGTGCTGAGGTAGCAAACACTTTCCTAAAATTCTGCTCAAATTCCTCCGCCAGGTCGATTCCCATTAAGTACAAGGCATGATTCTGAAAAACATGACAAAAATAATGACTTCATTATCACTGTCATTAGATACTTTGTGATTGGGAATGATCACAACTCTTGCCTAAAACACTTAAATTGCATTAACCAGGTTAAGATTAAAAACTCATGTGGCTAAGAGTATTTTCTGTGTCCTAAGTGAACAATTATTTACTACTAACTAGGCAAAAATGGAAAATCATTACCATGCTTGGGGACTCTTATTCATTTGGTTTAGGTTCTTTACTTTAGTGATAATCTAAAAAGTAATCCAAAGTCTTTGTAATCATAAAATATTACAGACGTCTAAGTACAATCAGTGATATTTCTTTCAAATTGTCACTTGTATTTCTCTCTGGTGACTCCTCTTAACTATATGGGTCGTTTACATACCAAGCAACCTGGAGTCTGAAATTTCTGAGAAGTTGAATTAATAATATTTGGGGGACGATAAGAAGGGTAATATGACTTTAGGACACAATTCTGTTCTCACTTTGTTCGGAGCAGGGAAGACACACTATTTTCAGTGGGCACCTCTTGCCTTTGAAGAGAGGAAAGAGCTCTTAGCGTTCTGAAATTTTGGTTGCAGGGACTCCTAGGGACTCACTGCCATGCTCTATCTTGAGTTTTAAAAGTCCCTCGCTTTTCGATATCTTGCTTGTATAGGCTTGTTAGAGGGTGAGATAAACTGTAAAACTTCCGTACACCAAAAAATGAGGGCAGAGCAACTTAATGGAGAAAACAAGGAAATGGAAGCAGGAGAGACACTTACTTTATTAAATGCCCTGTGATTCTGAAAGATGAGGCGCATGTCCTTCATAAAGCTGCCCACTTTGGGGTAATGCCGCTCATTTAGATTCTTCTTTATCTTATGCAGCAGCATAAAATTATCCATGCCTCGATAAGCCTCCACACTCTGGTGAAAAGTAAATAATGAGAGAATTTCTGATACGGCACAGTGTCTGCCTTCTGTGCATTCCTGAAAAATCCAGCCAAAGTGCCAGGCAATGATAACAGCAGCTCATGCTCTCACTCCCATGGGTTTCAGAGCACAAATCCCACAAGAGCACATGCCAAGACCAGGCAACACCTTGGCAACCTATAATCACAGTTTGTTATCATTACTTACATGCGTATCTTGTTCCATTTGCTCAAGAGAGATATTGTCTGAGTGGCAGTAGATCTCCAAGAGGAGGAACTCACATTTCTGCAAGAGAAGGAGGATTTGAATGAAAAGTAACTCAGAGTGAATGATCCCATATGTATGCCCAGGCAGAGGCGTGGCCACACCAGTTTTCCGGCAGTTTCCTCAAACAGGTAGAGATCTGGGAATCAGACATGTAATTCCAGAGCTATTTTTTCTGCAAGTCCTAGTGAGATTTCAATGTGGTTGAGACCTGGTAAGAAATGCAGACAGCTCTTGGTGCTCTTTCCTTCCCCCTTTTTCTGTTTGACTTCTCACATGTGAGTGGGAGAAAGAAGTTTTGGGGTCAAATTCAAATTACCAGCTGCTCCTTAGGCCCCATCGTCATTGCCAGGACTTCCCATTCCCCATGAGATTGCTGACTTCCTGAAGACTCCTTTATCCTGCAGAAGGTGCAACTCCATGGGCTCCTGGGAGGCCTGCAATAAGTGAGTAAGGCAAAGTCTCAGAAACAGCCACCGTTCCTATGGCTGCCACTGTTCTCCTTTCAGGAAAGGCTGATGGACACAGACTGAGAACGAAGGGGTCACTCCCCAGTCCCCAGGTCCCCCATGTAGGGCCTGAGACAATGATAACAGCAAGGGTGCCAACTGGGGGTCAGTAGGTGGAGATTGGCATCAAGATGAGTGGTGGGCTGTCCTTTCCCCACTTGAGTTGCTGGGAGCACAAAGAGTCCTGCCTACTGGGCCTGAGTGCTAGAGACTGGACCTTAACCCCTAGGGGCCTAGGCTCTCAATCAACCAATTGAGAACATGGCAAGAAGTTTGTGTTTCTCAATAAGCGCAGAACACAAGCAGCTGGCGTCCACCACTGTGACCAGGAGTCCATGCTTAGAAAGCTCTGGAATGGACAGCAGCAGTTTGTCAGCAAAGGACTCAGCTACCAGCCTCAGCCTCCCAGAGGAGAGAGGAGAACAGACACCCCCTGCTGCCAGCGTCTTTCAACAGCTCCTGTGATCACACTGCTGGACCACATACCTCTGTCCCTGCTGTGTCCCCATCAGGACACAAGGAGGAACCCCACAGGGGGATGGTGCAGGGCAGGAGGAAGGACCCTTTAAAGAAGACAGGGGGCTGCATCTCACAAACCTCTCATTCTGCACGGGTGGGATGTGACAGTCCCCATGAAAGAATCTTGAACAAGTATCACAGCCGAAGAGATCTTCTCCATTGTGGCAGACCTCACATGCCTGTGGCTTTTCAAGCTAGAAGGTAAATCAATGTACCCACAGTGAGACCACAGAAGGCCACCACTATTAGATTCTAGAATGCACAGCCTTTTGTGAATCTGGAAGGAAAGTGATGTTCTTCTGAGTGGAGATTTCAGAGGAAGAATGATTTTTCTCAGTGAAGTTTAGAGGAGGGACCTGTGTGCCAGACCAGAAAAGTTTTTCCTATAAACCAAGTGATTCTAAACAAAACAAAACAATGATGTTAACAGAAAGTGAATCATTTTATAACCTTGTAGATAAACCAAGTTTCTGCCATAAAGTGTTAAATCCATTTGCCTACAACACAATGACTAAAATGATCCCTACGAAGGTGGTACATTGAGAAATTAATAAAATGGAAAAAACTTCTAAGAAAAGCTTGTCATCCTGTTTGTTTGTTTTTTGGCTGAAGTTTCCCCATGAGTTGAAGGGCCTGGCAGGGGCTCCTGGACATGGATTCTGGGCCTGGGGAGTCCCTGGACCTGTGACAGTGCCTCAAGTTTAAAAAACCCTGGAAAAAATGACCAGGTGATGGAAAGAAGGACGGAGCTCTTTAGATCCAGAAGCTGCAGAAAGATGCCCCATGACTCAGCTTGGTATGTAAAATGTGGAGGCTCTGTCTCTGAACACCCAAGAAGCGTGGCAACTGCTTTGTTTAGTAAACAGAATGGTGAGTCCCCCATCCCACAATCAATGAAGCTGGATTTCTTACCAGTCTCAATCTGTGGCCTTAAACTACATTTAATTTAATTTACAGAAGAGGAAATTTGACAGTATTTGCATCCAAGTCTTGTAGCATAACTCCTACTCATTAAACCCAAATAAATTTATAGAGAAGATATGAATATACATTGTGTTATATATAAACACATGTATTCATGATAAGAAACTGGCCTGTGACTGAGCCCTTTGTTAATGAAGGAAACACAATGTAAGGACTAATATTAAAGTTCAATGTCAGGTGCTGCTGTGGCATCTGGTAACACTGAGATGGCCTCAGACAACCTATGTGCATGTGCTCCTCCCCACCTTGCTCTCCCAGATAAGGTCCCACAGCTAAACAATGCTCCTAGTCCAGGGACCACCAGTAACCCTGCCCATCCTGGAATGTCAGGTTTCAGTTCTCTGTCAGCCATGGAATCTTTCACACAAGCCAGACACAACCTCCCACAGAAACCAGAGGGCCACCCTGCATTCCCCAGCACCTGGTTTTCAGTTGGTTCCAGAGGGCAACCTTGATGAGGCCTGCAGGAGGGGCACTGCCTTCCTTCCTCAGTCATGGAATGTATGAGAATAATAAACACCTGTCCATCCATCTGTCCAGTGACAGATGCCATTACTTGCCATCCCCCAGACTGTCCATTTGACATCCCTCCCTCATCAATGGGATGAAAAGGAGGTGATTAAAACAGGAAGTCAGTCCCTGAAGTCACAGGAAGCCATACAATAGGGAACTCCAACTGTGAAAACTGTGTGAAGCATTCTCTAACACGACCAAAACATAGGCCAGTTCAAAACAATGGGTGGTCCTCAAAATTGCAGGTATGGAAATATTAAAGGACCTCAGAAAAAGGAAGAATAACTGGGAAAAAATTAAAAATTTAAAAAATAAATAAAACACAATGTCACATTTTTTAAAAGATAATTAGTATTTACATAAATTAGGAACTATTAGGAAGTATATCTGCCCCTGGTTGCTTTCCTGGATCTGCCTGGTGTGAGGATCCAGTTTGAGAACCACTTGGGGGTAGTTCTATCCCAGACACAAACATCCTGACAATCGCCTGGTATTCCAGAAATGCCTACCCTCTTGTGACCATCTGAGGTGACAGAAATGAGAATGGCTTGGGGACTGGCACACACATTGACAAGTGCTGGATGGGAGGGAAGTGGACCATCGAGGAACATGAGGAAACAGGGATGACAGTGTCCAACTTTTTCTACTGTGAATATTTCTGGTTATTCTGAACACAAGTGGTGTCCCACTGTTACTGTAAAACAGTCAGTAGGAGTGCCAGAGAGCCTCCCACATTGGCCAAGATGGTGGGAGTGGGAGATTCTTACACTGAGCATAGAAACAGTTAGCCAGATAATTGGATAGAGAAAAGCCCTCTCCCCAGCATTTACCCCTAATCTTGTACTAGATTGGGGTGGCACCAGGCAAAGGCAGACCCATATACCATAGTAGCTTAAATGGTGCAGGGGAAGGTGCTAGACCAAAGAGACATGTCAGTCTAACCTGGGGAAAGAAGGGATTGATTCGAAATGAACCCTCCCAAGGTGCATAAAAGTTTGGGAATTTTATTTGTCATTTTGAGAAAGCACCTGGTCTGTCCTACACCCTAGCTAATCTAATCCCAAGGAACAAGCTCTCTCTCTCTTTCTCTGGATGTGCACTCACAGATTGGATTTTCCTGTTCTCTCTGAGGTCATGTGGCCTTAGCAGCCACATTCCCCATGGCCTCCATGAGGAAGTCAGTCTCCCTCTTATTCATTCTCTGTCTCTGTCTCTGTCTCTTTCTCTGTCTCTCTCTCTCTCTGTCTCTCTCTCTGTCTGTCTCTCTCTCTCTCTCTCTCTCTCTCTCTCTCTCTCTCTCTCTCTCTCTTCTCCACCTGGTGGTACACTCACCAGTGTGTTCGCATACTCTCCTCCAGAACTGCCTGCCCAAGCAGCCCTAGTAGCCACATAACCCATGGCCATGTGGGCTCTACTCACAGGCTATAGGTGGGAGCAGCTGGGAACATGCTAAACTGCTTGGGACTAAGACCACTTATCAGCCACCTGAGGGCTCCAATAAAATGTACTTGAAAACAGAGCAGGTATTCTGGACACTGGCTTTTGCATTGGCCTTGCTCAGGACAATTTCTTGCATGGAAGAAAGAGATGGTCGATTACAAAGGAGCCCACCATTCTCCAAGGTGATATAGCACCTGAAGAAATCCTGTGCCTTTTGCACCAGCATCTGCCTCATTAGTTTTGCCTTTGTAGCAACATGCAGCTGAACCTCTGTTTTTGTTCAGTTACTCCATCATTCTCCTGGATTTACTCCATCAGCCTCACCATTCCATCTCTTTTCTTTCCAGTCCTTCTTTTTGTCCATTTTGAGAGAATCCCCCAGGTTTCCATCTTTGGCTATTTAGTTGGCCCTAGGTGATCAAATCACTCTGAAATCCACAGTTACCTTTCTATATCCACAGCTCTCAAATATCCAGCCTGTCTCCTGCCTTCCTGCACATCCCTGTGCTCACCCAGCATCTCCTATCAGATCTTTAAAGCACACACCAAACTCATGCAGCCAAATCTTGTCCTAACGCCCACTACATGTTCTTTCTTGGTGCTCCCATTTCCTAAAATGTACAATATTGACCACAAGCCTGAGAATCCATTCTGTGTCTATTGTCTTACTCATGTTCCAAATCCTATCTGTCCCTATGCCACACAGTAATTTGTAAGCTTCTTTTGATTGCTCCATCATCCATGTAGTGTCCACTGCATGCAGAGATGTTGAGACCCTGGTGAGTATTTCCACCCTAATACATAAAGAAAAGTGGTTGGTTTCTCCAAGTCTATCCTATATCTTGGTTGAGTACACAAAGATCAGAAATATGCCTCTTGAAGCAAATGGGAAGAGGAATTTGGATCATAGCTATGTCATCTCAGTGCAGAAAGGAATTAAAGATGAAAAGTCACTAACTAATAATTATTTTGAATCTTCTTCTTCACTTTTCAGTGAAAATTCTTGTGTTGGGCAAATTTAGATTCAGGTCATTGCTTTTGCTTTTTGAAATATTTGTAAAACATAAGATGAAGACCCAAGAACCATCTTGCCATAGCTCCCATTCAGTTTTCTGGTTGAATCTTGAATCACACTCCCAAATGGGATGGAAACTGCTCCAGCACAGAGGCCTGGGGATAGTTTCCTTCTCTTCACTGTGGGGACTCACAGATTACCATCATCATTCTCCAGGTCATGATAGCCCTCTTCCCAGAAGAACAAGGAGATAAAAACTGTAACCAATGCATAATAATGTTTCATCCTTGATCCTTAATCAACTTAAGGCTCTTTTCTCTTTGTCTCTTTGCTTCTTATGCCAGCTGCACATATGATAGTATGTGAAATGCTAGAGTTCTGGTCCTAATGGAAGAGATTCTGATCAATTGGTCTGCATTGAGGCACAGGCATTGGTACTCTTATTAAGTCATAGACTGAGTAACTCGTGTAACAGAATTATCTATAAAGTTTTTAAATTGGCTGTCAGGCACAGTGGCCAAGTGGTAAGGAGTCAGTCTCATACAAAGTTTTAAACAATCATCATGTGCAAGTAATAGTTTAGACTGATTAAGTTACAATCTCATAGAGGGAGGGATCCAGGCAATGCTACTTTACAAAGGTCTTCAGGTGATTCTAGGGCAGCCTAAGTGGAGATTAGGCCTGAGCCAGTGTGGTTAGTAATGCATGAAAATATTATAAGGCGATGTCTATATGCCTGTAACATCTGTCCCAGGAAAGATTATTATTAACATGAGTGAAGGCATTCTTGTTGGAACAGTTGCCTTCTCCTTCCCATGGGCTTGTGGGTACTGGTAGTATGACAGGACCCCCTGGGTCTCCATCTATCACTCAGGGTCCTGGGAACCACACAAGTGTCCAGAGAAGATATCTACCACCTCCTGAAGCTCTTCTAGGGCATCACACTAAAAATAAAAGGAATCCAATATCTTTGGTACTGTAATTTTTCTTCCAGAAAGTCACCTTTATCTGGCTTCCATCCAAATCCCAAGAAGGCACCTGTCTGACTTTTCATAGGAAATGGACTACTGTGCGCTACACTCACATTGTTTGGGTATGTTCAGTGAAATGTCTTGGCCTCCTTCCCTTGAGGCAGCCTCAGCTTATATCTCCAGCCAAGGCAAAGATGTCATACACAGATGTAATCTACTATAAAGTGACCTGAGAACGGGCCATGTCACTGCCTGCCACTTGGGCACCCTACAATCCTTGCTTTCAGTAATACTTCTATAGTAGACAATGAAGGTGACACAATCCTTGAGGTCAGGGATATTATTTCAATCTTCCTTATGGGCATCTAGCATTTTCATGCACTCAACTGTATGTTGAATGAGGAAATAAATGAGTATCATACCCCTTGGAAAAAAGGGATTACATGCTATTCTTAAGCAAATGTTAGCATATAATAAATGATTATTTTGGTTGAGTAGATAAGATTATTTGAGAACACAGCTGCTGTCACCAGAAAGCATCAGTGGCCCTCATCAAGAGATAAAAAACTGTCATGTGGTACCAAGTGCCACCCCATGAACTGGGGTTTCCATCAGCAAGAGAATTTTAGGGAGGCAAGAGGAATCACCAGGTAGTAATGTGTGTTGAGATTTACCACTTTGAGTCTCCTCATGGAAAATTGTTCCCTGTTGCTACAAAGTGTTGGAACCATGGAAAAGGATAGACCCACTGTGGGAAGTTGTTAGCTCTTTTAGGTAATCCAGATAAAGTAACTTTAGACACATGGAGAATAGTAGAGATGTTGCTTTTCAAAGTACTCACTGAATAAAGTATGTTAAATATATTTCATCTCAGTAAACTCAGTGGATGGAAAGTCCCAAAGACTAGTTCCCAATTTGCAGATCATCTGATAATGTCAAGGCCTGGACCTCACATTCCCAGTGCTAGATGGAGTCCCAGTGGCCAGCTCTGTGTAAGCTAATGTAGAATTCTGTGAATGACCTGGGGGGCCATTTCTACCTGTAGTGTGTGTGAATGGCACCTCACACCTTCCCCTCCTTCTCAAGTTCTCATTCATACCCAAACTTGAAAATACTATCATTTTGTCCTGAAACTACGCTTCATATTATGTGTTTGTTCAGTCTTCTTCCACAGAGGGAGAAACCACTTTCACAGATAGAAAGGAGGCCTGCTCAGCCCCTGAGGTGGACTCAAAGGGGTGACATCAAAGTAAACAATTTTCCAGGTCAGGCTCTCACCTAAACTACATCCATCTCCCAAGAGTTCCCTCCCCAACTGCACCATCCTTATGAAAAATTTGCCAATAATTTCTGCTTGAAAAAGAATTCTGTATGCTTCTGTATACATTTTATTGAAGGATGAAAGAGTATGTAGGTAATCAGAAAAGAAATATGCTCTTAGTTTCCTCTCTTATGAAGTAGTATATGCTTTCATATCTGTCCCAAAATACATTGTCTACTATACAGGTTCATCTGGATGATGGGGAGCAAACTTTACTCCATCGGACTTCATTAAATTTAGGAAATAGTAACCATTATCAAAGAAATCTGGGATTGAGTTGAAGAGGACCTTGTGACCTGATTAGAAAAAGTGTTTTTGTGCATTCCATAATCATGTTAACATTACATTTCACACCCTAACAATACCTTTAACTACAAGAGTCTTTTTTGATGGTTCCTTATTTGAACATCTAGTGGTTTAGCATTCACAGGTAACATTGCATACAAACTAATGTTCAATGCAGCAACTCTGAAAAATGCAAAATAAATAAATGAAATAAAGGTAGGAGAGACAAAAAGAGGAAACAATGATAATCACTCAATTGAGAAACCATAAAAAATGTGCAGTACCTATAAAATGAGTTAGGTATTAAGAACTAGTATAAAAGGATAATCACCTTTTTTTTCTTGCTGTACATTGTTGGTGGTATAGGTAGCTTTCCCTCCTGAAAAATAAGAAGATACAAGTATATGCTTAGCCTATGATAATATTCTGTGAGTCTGGTATTAACCTCCTTGTAAAAATTTCTTCTGGACATCATACTATCAGCTCAATGGCAAAAATCTCTCTCTCCTCACTTGTACTTATTCTAGAATTCATCCATAGAACCCAGAAAACCATTTTCAGAATGTGTTTCCTTGCTTGTCTGTTTTTTCCCTAAATTTTCAAAGATTTTCCTTCACAATCTCTTTGACACCTTTCCCCTCCTTTCCATTCCCATCAGTACCACTCAGACCTGCCTCTTCACACCAGGACTGTTCAACTGACATACACATGCCCCACACCTACATGGTGTCAGACACATGGATAGTTTTGGGCAGACAAAAAAGGACAAACCCTAGGAGTGTCCAAAGAGACAAAGGGAATGCATGGAAGGATAAGAGTAAGACAGTGTGAGAAGGGCCTCAATAGTGAGTTCAGGGGGCCCAGGGAAGGGATGACCAGGGTGGATCAGTCAGGGAATACTCAGACAGGAGTGACATGGGAGCTCAGCCTTGCAGGTTGACTATACGTTTCTTGGGCTGAAAGACAGTGAAGTCATTTCAAATCCCCACGTTGTCTGAGATACTGTTTTAAATATGCCATTTCACACCTCAGGAGACCTCCGTGGTTCTCTGCATTATATGAATTTAAACTTTCTAGCCTGACATTAAATTACACTGCATACAACCCCAGTTTGATGGATTTGGTCAAAGCATACACAATCCATCTACCTCAACCCACAGAACTAAGTTGATCATGGTTATGGTTTCTATGCCATTTTTTCCCCAAAGTGCCTTCTGCCCACTTGTTTGAATGCAGACAGTCCTCTTTACTTCAGTGCCTAAAATTGTCTGCAAGCACCAGAGTCTGTATGACCTTTCCCTCCTCGAGCTCCTGAACCTACCCGGAAAGAGCCCCTTTGACAACTGATATACTGCCTTGTACTGAGGTGTGAGGGTCAGGCAACTCTCCCCTAGGAAACCATAAAGTCAGGGGCCTCAGGGCTCTACAGATAGCTCAACCCATGTATTGGGTAGTCGATAGGTGACCTTATGTTGGACCACAACAAGAGACGTTACACCTCCTGCCCATCACTCAAATACCTCCATCAGCCGTTTTAGGGTTTTCCCACCACAGCGCACAGTGTTCTTCCAATTTCTTGAACTTTTATAGTTCCCTGCAGCTTCAAATTCCTGGGGGGTGAACCAGTTTCCATCCTCTGTCTTTATGCACTTCACCGTGGATCCTGTAAGACCGGGACAAGTTGATCCTAGCACCTCTTTGTCCTCAGAGCTCAGACACTGGCCTCCCACCACCCCGGATCTGAAGTTACCCAATTTGGGCTGAGGATCAATATTAGGAGAGTCTGACCTTCCCTTTTATACACCAGAATTCCCAAACCCCATCTATATATCCCCTTTAAGATTTCCTGATTTGTGCATACATATCTTTGACCTTTATGAAACAACAACAAAAGTGATCATTAGGAGCTACTTAACATCATGCAAGTATTCTAAAATTACCTACAAGGAAAAGAATGTGACTCTGCAAAACAAGACAATTTCAATTTGCTATTGAATTCTGGAGACAGAGAACAGGCCAGACTCTCTGGTGGCTGTGGGGCAGTGTGCAGGCAGAACCTCAGCGTGAACCAAGACCTCAGGTGGGAGCCCTGCTGCTCAGAATGGCACCCGGGCAACACCTGTGCCCTCCATTACAGCAGCTTCCCCATCTAAGTTTAATGGCATTACTGAGCAGTGAGTTTCCATCCCTAAAATCACAGGTAGCTAACATTAAGTAATTGGGAAATAGTACTCAGTGGAAAATTTAAGTTAGATATAATAGAAAGTCATGATAACATTAGTCATTAGAAAAAGGAAAGTCAAATCCACAATGAGATACTACATTATAAGCACTAGGATGGCCATAATGAGAAAGACAGACAATAATAAGTGTTGGTGAGAATGTAGAGAAATTGGAGCCCTGAGACTGCCGGTGGGAACATAAACTGGTGCAATGCTGTAGAAGATAGTTTAATTTTTCCTCAGTAAGTTCCACAGAGAAGTACCATGTAACCCAGAAATTCCACTGCTGGGTATATACCTGAAAGAATTTTTAAAAATATGTTCACACAAATAGGTTATGAGAATGTTCAAAACAGCACCTTTCATAATAGCCAAAGAGTGGGAAAACTCCAACAAATGGATAGATAAGCAAAATATGGCACATGCATACATGAAATTATATGTTATTTGGCATCAAGAAGAAGGAAATATATAATACATGCTACACATGGGTGAACCATGAAAACATTACACTGTGTGAAAGAACCAATCACAGAAAGGCACATGTTATATGAGTAATTGATATGAAATGCCTAGATAGATCAGTTTATAGGGCAGAAAATAAATTAGTGGTTGCTTAGGTTTGGGCAGTGGTGTGAGATGGGAGTTGACACTGACTACTGAGAGGCATGAGTTTAGTGGAGGACAAAAATGTTTTAAAATTAGATTGTGATGATGGTTACACAACCTTATGAACTTATAAAAGAAACAAAAAAACAAAAACCCAACAGTGAATTCTACACACTAAGTCACAGGTGGCAAACACAAGGTCTGCGGGTTGAATCCAACCCTCCACCTTGTTTTATCCAGCCCAGAGACTTGTTTCTGCTCAGCGGCAGCACTAAACTCTCACTTAACCATTAAAGGAGCAATTACATTTATACAGTCCTAACATTACATCCGGCCCTTTGAAGGCAACTGCGAGGCTGATGTGGCCCCCAGTGAAAATGAGTTTGACACCCCTGATCTAAGTGGTGAATTGTATGAGATATATCTCAGTAAAGCTGTTTAAAAACCTAGTTATGATGCAGACAATTATATTAATTGGTTTTCACTATCCATTTTAAGAGAAATTTCCTAGTAAGTTCATCACAATAGACAATTATTGACAAGCTTTCTAACGTTAAAATCGCAAAACATGTTATATTCATTACGTAAACTAACTCTCAAAGTCACAGCAGGAGGCAGACTTGTAATAGTTTTCCATTTCTTAGAAGGGACGTTTCAGGCTCAGGAAGGTCCCAGTCTTCACACTGTCACTCTCAGCAGGGCTGAGGCTGGGATCAGGTTTTCTGACTCTAAACTCTGTGGTCTCCTCACTGCATCTAACACCCTGTCCTGGTGGTGATTACCCAGATGGGATACAGGAGATGAACTTGCAGGCTTAGGGCCTCTTCCCAGTTATATCTGATTCAAAGTAGAAAATGCACTATTTTCCGCCCATAGACTGACAATCCTCTTTGATTCTCTGGACATCCTCATGGGCACTTCCACGTGGGGGTGAGAACTTAATATGCACCACTGCTTACAATGTAAAAATATCATCTTAAGGATCCCTTCCTTCTTCTTTCAAGCCACAGTGGGGCCTCAATTTCTTGAATGATGGGTAATTCACATGAGTAATTCCATCAATTCTTATGATTCCTTTACAAAAGTATTACAAATTAAAGTACACCATTAAACCCACCTTCTTCCAACTTTTTCTTATGTAACATGCCTTTCATGTCTCCACAGGTCACAGGAAGTATTTCAGAGCGAAAATCCACAAATTCTCCTTCATGCTTTTTTAGCCCTGAAAGAGAAGAGTTTTTCATTCTGTCTCATTTCACAACCACACATGTACAACTTTCTCCCGTGTTAAAGTCATGTCTATAAAGTCATAAGGGTACTTAGAAAACTTTATTCCACATATCTCCCGAGTTTCAGTCTTTCAGTGGTATTTTTGATACATAACCAAGAATGTCTACCTTCATTACACCTCTCAAACCCCCCACAATCAGAAAGCTTTAGCAGAGACACCAGGCATCAGTACACCTGTCTTAGCTCCCCATGTAGTCAGCTGCCTTACTCTTAAGTGACGGTGACACATGCAGCTGCTGCCCTGGCAAAGATATTTCACTCTCAGTAGGCTCCTCTGCATTCTCTTGGCTCTCCACATTCTGCACTGCATTCTCTTTTTCCTTTACAGGTAGCTTTATACATTTGTGCCATTCAGATGATTTACGTATTCTCTGAGACAGCACAGGTTTTCTCTCCCACAGTCTTCCCTCCTCCTGAGTCCTCCCTAGGTTCTCAGCTTCCACATTTCCACTCACAAGCAGCTCGAGGCAATCTAGGCTTTTTCTTAAAATCATCCTCCTTAAAATACTCCAGTGGCTCTGGCCACTGCCCAAAGGCACTGCCACATTTTTACTGATGTTTTATAGCCATAAGACACTTACAAGAACCAAAGTCTCTATTATTTCCATATGTTGCCCTATTTACTATAAATAATGGCTTAAAACAACATGTATTTATTATCTAATCAATTTCAGTTAGAATTCTAGCACTGCCTTGGGGTGCTAAAATCAAGTTTTTAGCAGACTTGCTTGCATTCCTTTCTGGAGGCTGTAGGGGACAATCTGCTTCCTTGATTTTTCCTGCTTCTTAAGGTCCCCCACATTCCCTCATTGCCCCTCCATCTGCAGAGCCAGCGATATTGCACCTCTCTGTTCCTCCAGAGTCACTTCTTCCTCTCTCCACAGCCAAGAAAGGCTCTCCACTTTTTAAGGCCTATGGGAGTGTATTGGGGCCATCCAGGTAATCCAAGATAATCTCCCCCATCTCAAGGTCCCTAGTTTAATCACATCTGTAAACTTCATTTGCCATGTGAGATAACAGATTACAGGTTCCAGGGATTATGACATAGACGATTTTGAGGAGACTTCGTTCCACCTACGACAGCACTGTAAATAATAATAATGATGAAACTCTGGTATTTAAAACTCATTTCTCACACTAAAAGCAAGTAAAACCTTATTCACTCTTACATCTTTTTTTCTTGGCTTTTGGTGAAGTAGGGGATTTTCCAAGATCCAAAGGACCTAGAAAATAACAAGTGGTAGTGAGAAAACAGAAATGAATAAGTAAAAGTTACACATTTAGGATAATTAATAAATACTGCAGGACACTTGAGTTTATAGGATATTTGATTTCTCGTTTCTCTCTTCCTTCTAAAGGAAACTAAAAACCTACTTATTTGAGAAGGAGTCCAGAACTTTAAAAAACACCTTAAATACCTCTGTACTTCAGTTCATGCAGGAATAGTAACAGGTTTTCCATCCTGTGCAGGTTTTAAGATTTTTGTGAGATGTCACCTGAGTCCCCAAAGAGGAGAGAAACTACATTAATTGTTTTCAATGTCTGCAGGATTTGGAAGCAAAGGAAAATGCAGCCAGTAATCTATAACCAATCAACTTGTAAAGCTTATAACTCCTCACATTGTTAAAGGATTTAGAACATAAAGACGTGGTGATGATCATTTCTGTCTCTTCTCATCTGAAGGAAAGAGATCATTATGAAATGAAGCAAAGACCCACAGTCCTTTAGCTCATATGCAGAATCTAAAAAGTTTTGAAAACAAACATTATTTTCATAGGTTTGCAGCTAACTAACTTGGAAGTGAATTGGCACTTAGCTGTCATGAGTCCATGTAAAATTTTTATGTATCACACCTGGTGTGAACTCACATATTTTACAGAAACATTAATGTATTTGAGAATGAGGTTCTGCCCTAGACCTTGTTGGGGTCTTTTGTAACACACAGGACATAAACCACAGCATCTTTCTAAAACAATAAAACATTATTTGACTTGTGGTTTCAGAGGTTTTGAATAAAGGATGTTGGGTGTTTCCTAGGAGTCCAGGCTGCTATTTCTGCCTCTTCTGGTAAATTTACACGTGATGCATAAAGATCCTTAAAAATTCATAGATACAGCAAGAAAACTGATGGTTCCCCAGCAGTTATCTGGCCCAACTTTTAGGTTGTTATACACATAACTAAATACATCTATCTATCTATCTATCTATATAGATATAGATATAGATATAGATATAGATACACACACACACACACACACATACATATATATATTTGCAAAGCCATGTTCAAATATCACTGTATTGGCCAGCATCATGTTGAGGGTCATCTGTCAAAATCTATAAATGGAATTTGATAGTCATAACCAAAGGCTTTTCCTTATGTTAATAACAAAAAAATAGAGTCTGTTGAATTTTGAACAGGTTTGTGACAAATTGAGCAATAGCTGACTGTCCAAATGTCCTCTGTTCTGGACAGATCAGGTGCTGAGTGCGTGACCATCTCTATGTGGTCCAGTACTTGGGGGATGATGTCTCTGAGCATGTAGTCAGTAAGGAGGCACTGCTGTCCTGCCAGAGCCATCTTGTTAAGCCTGAACTTAAGTGATTTCTTTCTTTGCAGTTTTATTTATTTCTATTTATTTTTTTTTATTTTTATTGAAGTATGCAGGTGACATTGGTTGATAAAATTGTAGAGGTTTCAGGTGTGCAATTCTATAACACATCGTCTGCATATTGATATTGTATTGTGTGTTCACACCCCAAGTCAAGTCTCCTTCCGTCACTATTTATCCCCCCTTTACCTTCTTTTACCTCTCCAGCCTACTTTCCCTCATACTGTTGTCTGTGTCTACATACGAGTTTTTTTTATTAATCCCTTTCCCCAGCCCCCTCCCCCCTCCCCTCTGACATCTTTCAGTCTATTCTCTGTATCTATGAGTCTGTGTCTATTTTGTTTGTTAGTTTATTTTGTTCTTTGCAGTCTTCACAGTGGCCACATGAGAGCAAGGCAGGACTGGGCTCCCGCATGTGAGGTGTGCTCAGAGGAACAGGAGCCCTGACCTCAGGCTCCTGCTGTCCTGGAGCCCAGCCATGGTGACCCTTACCCTGCTGGTCAGCACCACCTCTCACTGCAGAGCTCCCGGCTTCTGGGCGCTTCTCCTGTGCACTGAACCCTGAAGACCCTTCAGGACTTCTCACTGCAGAAGGAGCAAATGTTCCTTGAAGGTCTCAGTGTGTGACAAGGAACTCAGGAAAAAGTTGGGAAGCTCTGAAAACCCAGGGCTAGCTTGTCCCCTCCCTCAGTCCCCCCATGATCTGTCTTTTGTATTCACGTGACCTGTAGGTCAGAACTTTATCATCCCTGTCCCCTGGGCCTGGGGTGGAGATATCTCTCTCTCACTGGACTCCTCTGCATTCTCTTGGCCCTCTGCATTCTGCACTGCACTCTCTTTCTTCCTTTCCATGTAGCTTTATGGATTTGTGTTTGTGTCTATAATTGTGTTCATTATTAGCTATGCTTCTGTCCCAAGGTGGTCTTACAAATTTGGCATTGAAGGAGGCAGACCTGTCACTTGGCTGCTTCCCAGGATGACTTTGTGAAATAGAGCCCTGCTCTCTTCTAAATTCTATTGTGTTCAAGTCATTGACCTCTCTGGGTTTATTTGGCACAGGCATTAGCCTAACTAACACAAAAGTTAAAATATGAATGATCTTAAATTAAAGCAAATTTGCGTTTTACTATAAAGGATACAGGAAAGAATTAGGGGAAACCTTTTGTAGAAAACACTGTTGATCTATAACCATGAAAAGTTCTTATTTGCTCTTACCTCTTTTGAAACGTATGTTTCCAGATGTAGGTGATTTTCTTAAATCCATAGACTCTATAAAGTAAGAGGGAGAAAGCAGTTATTTGTTTGCAACAGTCTTAGAAATTCTATGTCAAGTCACACAGCAGATAGGGTTTGTGATCATCTCAATGCTGAGATGAGCATTTTCCTCTTTTCTTCAACTGAACCCAGTTCTGGTGCCCAGGGTCACAATGCTAGGATCCTGTCCTGCTCTGTTTGCTTTCCATGTGAGTTTGTAAATGAATTACTTCAAACATTACCATCTCTAGTGTCCTAATCTATAATGCTGGGATAACCTAGGTACCTTACCACCCTGCTAAGGTTTTTGTGAAAACAAAAATGAACCTTTATTTACAAATCCCTGTAAAAAATCAAAATGTAAGCCAATAGTTTAAGTATCATTTGTATTTGAGAGTGTTGATCTGAGCCAATTTTTCCATTAATAATTGAATTTCAGCACAAATTATTCTGTCAAGATATTTTAAGTTTAGTACTAATGACATATTATCAGAAAATACAGGAATTCTGTGCTCACTCTGCTCTACAGAATATGAAGCATGTTTGTAGAGACTAAGCATATTATTCCAACTCTTTAACATTAATACATATGACAATGTGTAGTAAGACTGCCATTTACTAGTGTAGTGTATTATGGCTGCATTTTTAATGTATCAATTGATTGGGCTCATCTAATTAAATAACAGTTTATAATGCCTCTTGCTTACTCCTATTTTCCAATAGAACCAAAGAAGTTAGATGCTCAAAATGCCCTAGAAGTAATCAAATCAATGTACATAAAGACTGTCAGAGTAACATTCATCAGGAATACAGAGCTCTGAATTTAGACTCTGGATTTTTGTTGTCCGGAAATACAATCTTAGTATTCTCGTCTGGTGCAGTTCAGGATCCTAAATAGGTGGCTTTTTGAGTCTCTTCTTTATGTGATTCTAAGGAGTCAAGGTTATTGATCATTGCACAAAGACAGTATTCTTCAGGTATCTCAGAGAGTGACCAAGGAACCAATCCAGCAGGAAATTCCCTAATAAAACTTGGAAACATCTTTCTTGGAGACCCAAGTACATCATAACCTGTACATAGGCCACCTGGTCTGCCCTCTAAGTCACCTGCTTGGTAGGTTAGTGGTCCTTTCCCTGTCCCGAGAGCAAAGACCAGTCACCAGCAAGGGGCCCTTCTGCTCTGTTTGAGCCTTACCTTCCTAAGCTTGTCTCTCTTCTACTTCTTACCCCTTCTATTGCCATCAATATGTCAACAGGTCTTAATTCAGCAGCAGAATTAAGTTCATATTCCTGCAGCCCAAGCCTTGAGCCCCAACCTCCTTACCAGGTTCCCTTGTCAGTGCTGAGGTAGAGGCTTGGGGGAGGGCAAGCTTGTCTCCATCACCAAATTTTGCGGAGGCCTCAATGCTGATCACTACACAGAGAAGCAAAGCTTTTAGTGTTTCAGGGTGGCACCAAGGAGCCCACAGACAGAAAACCCCCTTAAAGACAGTACTAGGAAGACCTAGAAGCTACTGAGATTCCTGGGGTCTGTGCTTTAAGGTGTGTGACCTGCAGGTTGCTCCAGGTCCTACCCAGAAGGTGGTGAGAGGGCAGCTGTGCCCATCCTGCAGCTCCTGTCAACCCCACAGTCACTCTGCCTCCCACCTCCATCCTCACTCTACCTCTTATCCCCTCCCCCATTCTTCTTTTCTCCACTCTCCTTCTGTTACCTCGTACCTCATTCTACCTTTCATCTTTTATCATTCCAACATATCTAAATATCTATTAAGCTGGAAAGATGGATCAGAAAGAAGTATACGTAAAGCCTAATTTTAAAAATGGAATCAATCAAATTATATATATTTTAATATTATTTATTATTTTTTAACTATTTTTTTAAGTTTTTATTTATTTATTTTTAGAGAGAGAAGGGACCGAGATAGAGAGAGAGAAACATCAATGTGTGGTTGCTGGGGGTTATGGCCTGCAACCCAAGAATGTACCCTGGCTGGGAATCAAACCTGCGACACTTCAGTTCGCAGCCCACGCTCAATCCACTGAGCTACGCCAGCCAGGGCCCAATATTATTTATTATTTTTAAATGGATTTATTGGGTTGATGTTTTTTCACAAAACTATGCTGCTTGCAAGTGTGCAACCCAACAAAACATCATCTGAGCACTACCCTGTGCACCCACCACCCCAAGCAAAGGCTCTTTCTTCACTTTCCACTTGGTTCAGCCCGATTTTGCTAGTTGTGCCTGTTTCTGGTGAAGGTGAAATTATCTCTTTATATTTCTCCTTGTCTTCATGTTTAGCTTTTCATGAATCCCCTTTCATGAATACCTTGGATGTCTGAATTATTTCCCTTTTCTTTAAATCTTACCCTAATACCTTCCTGTCTCTGAATACAGAAATATAATCTATGACATCAATATGTTACCTGCTCTGTTTTAGATATTTGTGAACTATAAGGGACATTGTTCTGCGCATTCCCTCCCATTCCTATTTGTAACCAAGGCCAGTAGGACTGCCTCCATGGGCCCTATGATGTGTCCCAGACCCTCGCCTGTACTGAGACTCACATCACACACTCTTTCAGTCAGCCTTATCTATTATGTCAGATGCCTGGTTATATTCAGTCCTTGCTTGGGCTTCCCATTCATGTCCTGAATTTTAAAAATATCATGAAAAATATAATGAAGGCTTTTCCTTCATTATATCCACTGGATCTGCAGAGCAAGAACTGATTTGGTTTCCATGGTGGGGTAGCTCTGCTCCTGGAGCACATAACAATTCATGAAGAATTTCATTGTCTCCCCAAAGGGAGTGAACACCCTTGCTGCAATTATGCCCTTCTCCCTGTAATCCCACTGCAGGGAGGGCTCCCTAACCCTCACCTTTCCTGCTGCTCAGTTCTGTCCTTCCTTGGAGCCTCTTTTAACCCCAGGTTTTTGTGCTTATTTTGGATCTACTTTTCAGAAGACAGGCTTATTTCCCTGGGGCATTTGATGTTGTGGACACCTTACTTTCTCAATGGTATTAGGATCAGCCCTTTGTGCTTTCTTTGTGGAGACTGTCTCCTCTAATCAATGTTTAGTCCTCTATCAGTTCTTCATTCATTGTTCTTTACTCATCCTTGACATAGTTCTCTTTGTGTCCCCCTATTTTTTCTATTTATTGGTGTTTATTTCCTTCTGTATCTTGCTATATTTGTACTTACTTCTCTTCATATTTATCATGGTTACTCAGGCTCAGCGGAGTCTAGTGTGAAACAGAGGAGGTGCCCTGGACACAAGGAGGTGCTGAGAGGGAGCTCTTCCTTAAGTGTGTCCCAGGGTCACCCTGCCTCACCCCAGACCTGGCCCTGCTGGCTCACCTGATTTTTCACCTTTTCCATTCTCTATTATGTTTCTTATTTTATCCTATCCTATTTCTGTTTCTTAATCATGTTTGTGACATGAATGCCTCTTCTCTATTGATTTTGTCATTCTTTATATTTTCTTCATTTCTAGCACTCCAGTCATCACTGCAGTCTCCCCTGAGCCTTTACTCACAATGTGGGGTTCCTCCACTTGCCAGTTCCCCTCCACACTCATCAGACTCAGCCACTCTGTCTACCTGCTGGCCCAGACTCTTGGACACATTGTTCATTTGCTTGTTGGCTATCTCGTGCACTGCTGTTGTCACGGGTTATGTGTTTTCTCTTCATATTTATCTGTTCTGTTTCAGAGAGGTGCTCTGAGAGTTCATTTTCAAGTGGGGCTGTACCTAAACCACATTATGACTCATAGATATTTTATTCACTCTCTGCATCAATCAGGGTACAACAGGAAAATACAAAGTTTATAAGCTTTTAGAGCCTAGGTCATTTAATCCAAGGAATTAGTTATACAGTTCATGGAAGAGCTGAGAAGTCGAAATGGAAGAATGCAGCAACTCAAAGATGGTCAACAGGAAGCCATGGGAGGGACCAAGGGTGAGGTCATGTGTCAAGATTAGTGGGTAAGTACAAACTGGAGCAAGTCTGCTCTGCTTGGTGGGAGGTACAGTCATAGGAGATGCTCTACTGCCAGAATTGCTGCCCAAGACAGTGAATGGGAAACATCAGGTTTCTCTTTTGCTTCCACTCTACAACCTCTTGCTAGGGTCTCCCAGGCTAGGAACCCAGCAGGAAGCAGTACAAGAGAGCTGGCAAGCAAGTCTGCAGTGGTCTGTGGTCAGGGTTAGAGAGCAGAGCAGAGTAGGAAATAATAAGGAATGAATCCCTGAGTAAATCACCCAGGACCTGTGCACCCAACTTCCCCACAGTGAACCTTCTCTGCTCATTATTGATTCCACTGACCCATCCCACTCTGCTCCCACCAACCTCAACAGTGTATAAATGGAAGAATATTTTTTCAGTGCCTTTGCATTTTTTCATTTACTTCCTTTTTCTAAGCAAAGTAATTTATGTAATGATGATTTTAAAATTAATTCCCTCAATTTTAAAATATAACATATGCTGGGGTACATAATTTGTGTCACATCTACAGTTCCTTGGGGCCTCTTCTTGGGTAGGGGTGGGGCATTAGACACAGCCTTTTCCACTCCTGTGCATGTCACAGTCAACTGTCCCTGCAGTCAGACCCTTGGACATATCCATTGGTGGTTTGTTATGCATTGTTTGGGTTATGTCATTGCCCCCTACCCACCACCCCACCCCACACACACTCATTGAATCCCTTCTCTGCTCATTACTAGTCACAGTTCCTTCCTCTCAACCCTCCCTGCTCCCACCAGAAGCACTGGTGATGAACTGCTAAGAGTATGGATTGATGCATGTTGGATGCATGTTAAATGTTACCTTTTTGTCTAACGTGATTTGCCAAAAGTATGGTGGTGCTTTCAAAAATCACTCTGTAAGGCATTTTTCTTTTATAAAAATGGGATACTTTAGAACATTCTATATTAAATACCACACCCCACAGAAGATACAGATTACACCTTCCATGGTGCAAAAGTTTCCAGAATCTTCTCATGTCACTCATTTGCAAAGTAGAGTCAGTAAGTAAAGACTTGACATTTATTATACACTAGTGTGATATAAGGTGAGGAACCTATGTCTCTCAATTTATTTTCCTGGGCCTGAGGTTGGTATGGCTTTAATCACTGCTCCACAGCCTGGGGGATAATTAAATTCACCAGGGACATCAGTGAGAAGGGAAAATCTCACCGTTTGCTACAGTGGTGAATAGCTTAGACTTTGGCCCAGATACAAATGATAATTATCAGTGTAACACTGATGAAGTACCAGGCATGGCTGTGAATGCGTTATAACATAACTTGTTTAAAATCCATCCATCACACTGTGAAGGAGGCACTATTATCTCCTCCACTTTATATATGATAATACTGCAGGACAAAGAGGGTAAGTCACTTCCCCCAAGGTCTCAGAGCAGAATTGGAAGCCAGCTGTGGGTCACGACACCTCCTGCTCTGACACTGCCCCATGGCAGATTTCAATTCCCAGTTTCAGTGGCTAAACTTGCACAATTAGCCCAAGTCTCCAAAATGATTTTTTCCCCTCTGAAAAACCCAGATGACATACCATTGTTTTAAGTGTTTGAGAAGATTATATAAAATATTGCCTATATTACTGTGAGTAATATGATGACTGATAGAAAAAAATAACTTTTCAGGATTCATGTCTTAAGTTTATTCTATTTTAAATATTTTAATTAGTATGGAAAGGTCAAGAATTGTAAATAGTGGTTATTAGTTGCTAAAGTACCAAAGTGTTTGTTCAGAGGCCCATCTTGTGTTTTTAGAGCAACTCCTGGCCCAGCCACTCTGAGGATGATGGAAGAGGGTTAGCATGGGAGGCCCATAGTCCTACGTAAAGGATTCAACAGGAAATGGACTCTGTCCCCAAGGAACACAGTCATCACTGCTAACCTGTCTCCTGCAATGCTGGCCACCACTGGATGTGATGTCAAACAGCTGAGGCCACAGCCTATTTCAAGCAAGACAGATGCAGAGGCCATGAAGCCTGGCACATGGACAATAGGTTCAGAGCTGTCAACAGTTGGCAGCAAACACACGTGAGAATGAGAGAACAAACCGTCCCAGGCAACTCAGTATATGAAGACTGTTTCCTAAATCTTGGGAGACAGCACATGCCAAGATGGACAATTCTGGGTACTCTGTACTACAAAAAAGCAGCCTTCCCACCACAGCCCATGCCAGAATGGAACAAGAACAGCCAGAAAGAACAGACCTGTACAACTGGACAGATCCGGGAAGAGCCAGGACAGACTTGAGGATGAGTTTTCACCAGTTCCTAAAGGAAGAAATTAGAACTTCATTTCAGAAATGGAACTATAGGCTGTGCCATTCTCCTCCAGTCCCATTTTAATAACAATATTTATAATGTAGGACTTGACAACCTTTTCCCCCAAGTATCAATACAGAGCTATGCCCCAGCGTCAGTCAGGCATCTCACTATGTCATCCATGAGCCACTTGGTAACTAGTGATGGCTTTTATTGTCACCTATGGCCACAAGGATGTGCTTTTGTCCCCAGTGCTACCCCTGACAGGAGGCCTTACCTGACTTGTCCACTTCTTTCACACACACCCTCCCTCTGCACATCTGCTCGTTCTGCTTTATTGGTCTTTTCATTGGGATTCAGTGTCTGATTTTCCATCACTTCCTCCAACTCTTGGTACTCTCCTTTCTGTATCTTTCTTTCTGCATATATTTCTCTATTTTTGTCTCAAGTTTCTGTCCTTTCCATGAGACTATCTGGGCATGTACAGGGTTTAGAACATGGACTCTGGGTTCACAATGCCTGTGTTAATCCTCCCTATTTGACCCAAGCCAACTGTATACATGGACTCTTTAGATTTCCCTTTCTTTTTCTGCAAATGATCAGATAGTGTTACCACCAACCAAGGGTGTCTGTGAGCACTAACCACAACTACCAGAGTAAATGTTCAATAAGTGAGTTCCTAATAATATGGTTGCTTATTGTGTCCTTTATCCTTTTCTCCTACTTTTCCCCCCTCCCTTTTCTTCAAAATACAACCATCCCCTCCTTCACATCTTACCACTTCCTGTCTTCTTTCCTTTTGTGACTGCCTATGTCCTTTAATGTTTCTGCTCTTAAACAACATCTCTGACCATTAATCAGTTCCTTAATCTCTCATCATTAAAGGTCTAATCTTTGCTACTAAGGTCTAATCCTTGGACTCATAGACTCGAATCTTTCACAACTTCACACTGATCATTTCCTACATGGGTCTTTGTTAATCCCAGTTACTTCCAGGTCAGCATTGTCTTTAAGTCTAGTTTACTAACACACTGGGTTCCTAACCTTTGTCTTGGTTATTGGGCCAATGGTGTCATGTCAGAATCACTACTCAAGGATCAGCTTCTGGTCAGACTCCCATATGAACACCCCTTCCTGCCTTCTCTAGCCTCCTCAGGAGTTCTCCCCTGAGTCCCCAAATCTTCTCAGGACTCAGGGCCCACCTGCCTTTCTCCTTTCCTCTTAGGAGATGAAAATGGGTTTTTATTTGGTTTCATTCACCTTGTACAAGCTTTAGTTGGATATTAGGGTTGTCTGCACTCTTTCCTTCATCACTTTCTTGGTGAAAAATTTTCTTTTGGATCTCTAAAGAGAGAGACAAAAGAAATTAGGAATCTCTATCACAGCCTGAGGATATCACATCATATTTGCACATTTAAAGATTTCCAGTCAAGATGGAGGTCTAGGTAAATGAGGCTTACCTCCTGACACAACTACGCCAAAATTACTATAAAACAACCATCACTCAGAACTGTCCTAAAACAAGTTGAATGAAAGCCTGACAACTCCAAAACAAAAGAAACAATAGCCATCCATATTGGTAGGAGGTATGGAGATGTGGAGATGTGGAATAGGCTGGACTCACACCCATGTGTTATGCATAAAAATTTGGGAGGGATATCTGTGGAGCAAAGGGTACCAGCCCCACATCAGGCCCTAAGCCTAGTGTTTCAGTGCCAGGAAGATAAGTCCCCATAACTTCTTGCTGCAAAAACCAGAGGGAATTAAGTTGATGAAAGAAAATGCTGGATTCCCAAGCAGTACCTCTTAATGAATCTGCACATGGACTTATTCATAGTCACTGCCTGTGAGCTCCAACACTGGGGTAGCAAGTTGAAAAGCACTAGTGGCATGAGGAAGGAGCTGAAGTGTCTGGCATCAAGGTGAGCTGGGAGACTCTGGGAGCTATTTCCCAGGCAGAAAGGCAGGAAGAAGTCATTGTTAATTTTCTAAACCCTCCCCCACAAAGCCACAGAGCCAGCAGGTGGGTGCCATATCTGAGATTCCAACAGCCTGGCTCCATCCTGGTAATATCCTGAGGCACTGCTCCACTCAACTTATGGGCCCAACCAAGCTGTTAACAATGGCTTTTCCATATAAATGGCTGGTCTTGGCTTATGCTTCACAACTTCCTAAATCCTCTCAAACAAGCCACAGCTGGCCTCAGCAAGCTGCTAGCTCCCATGCCTCTGGTTAAGTGGCCCCAGGCCTGGTACTGTCAGCAGCCAGCCTGCTTTCATAACTTGTCTTCACCAGAATCTCTAAGCCAAGCACAAGTAGCAGCCATCTCAGATTGCTTTGTAGCTCCTGCAGGGTGGCCCCAAGAAGACCATAGGTGGTAGCTGACCTTGGCCTGCACAATCCAGGAATCCCCCAACCTGTGTACCTAGTGGACAGCTACAGACCACATCGGAACACCTCCATGTTATATTTGCACAGCTAATCTTCCACAGAGGGCAGAGTTTGGTGGTTAATGGTCATGGCCAGTCCTTGCAGCTGAATGGCCTGGGTAAAACTCTCCCATTGGCCTGCCAACAGCAATCAAAGGTCAACTACAAGAGAAGGCTCTACTCAACCTATGTAGCCTTACATCTAAATACCCAACATGGGTGATAACGGAGGCTGCACCACTGGAACCTACAGGACACCTACTACATTAGGCCATGCTACAAAGATTGGGAGTCATAGCAGTCCTAACTAATACATAGAAACAAACACAGGGAGGCTTCCAAAATGAGGAGACAAAAAAACATGGCCCAAGTGAAAGAGCATATCAAAACTCTAGAAAAGGAACTAAACAAATGGAGTTAAGCAATCTATCAGATGCAGAATTCAAAACACTGGTTATAACAATGCTCAAGGAACTTAGTGAGGACCTGAACAGTATAAAAAATATTCAGTCAGAAATAAAGGATACACTTATCGAACTAAAGAACAATTTACAGGGAAACAACAGTAAAGTGGATGAAGCTGAGTATCAAATCAGTGATTTGGAAAATAAGGAAGCAAAAAACAACCAATCAAACTATAAGACAAAAAAAAATCCAAAAAAATAAGGATAGTGTAAGGAGCCTCTGAGACTACTTGAGGTGTTCCAACATTTGCATCATAGGGGTGCCAGAAGGAGAAGAGAAAGAGCAAGAAATTTGAAGTATATTTGAAAAAACAATGAAAAAAAAACTTCCCTAATTTGGTGAAGGATATAGACACGCAACACCAGGAAGCACAGATAGTCCCAAACAAGATGGGTGCAAAGAGGCTCACTCGAAGTCACATCATATTTAAAATGCCAAAGATTAAAGAGGAAATCTTAAAAGCAGCAAAAGAAAAGCAGTTGGTTACCTACAGGGGTGTTGCCACAAGACTGTCAGCTGATTTCTCAAAAGAAACTTTGCAGGCTACAAGGGATTGGCAAGAAATATTCAAAGTCATGAAAAGCAGGGACCTACAGCCAAGATTGCTCTACCCAGCAAAGTTATGATTTAAAATCAAAGGGAAGATAAAGAGCTTCTCAGGAAAAAAAAAACTCTAGAAGTTCATCATCACCCAACCATTATATGAAATGTTAAAGGGACTTACTTAAGAAAAGGAAGATCAAAACTATGAATGATAAAATAACAATAAATACATATTTATCAACAACTGAATCTAAAACACAAATTAAGTGAACAAGAAGGACAGAGACAGAACCATGGATATATAGAAAGTTTTGATGGTTACCAGATGGGAGGGAGTTGTGGGGAATGGTGAAGAGGTGAGGGGATTAAGAAGTACACATTTGTAGTCACCAAATAGCCATGGAGATGTAAAGAACAGAATAGGAAGTTGAGTAGCCAAAGAACTATACACATGACCTATGGACAAGAATGGGGGTGGGAGGATTGCCTACAGAAGTTGGGATGCTGGGGGGATGGAGACAAAGGGGGAAAAATTGGGACCAGTGTAATATCATAATTAATAAAATATAAATTTAAACAATTTGCCCATTTAGGAATTTTTAGCCTACTGATCACTCAGAAAGCAATTCCCTCCAGGTCAGTTTTGGCAATATCCCTGGGACATAAATGAGAATCCTGAACAAGGGAACCTTTACATTTCCAACACAGAAAGGAGCCCCTCCAGTGTCAGGATAAAGCACTCTGGAAATACCACGAGCTTCTCATTATTTTTTTAATTAAAGATGGCTGGAAAAGCATATATCAAATAAAAATGGCAGTGAAATATGTTCTCTGACTACTGAAACTGTAAGGAAAAAACAGCTTTTCATTGAGAGGACCAGTACCTTATAAGTGACTGCATGTATTTTTAAAAAGCACATAAATTTTTAACTAAAAGGCTGTACAAGATAAGAGTAGAGTTTATTGGATTGGGAGGACGATCACTTCCCAAAGACACATCAGAGGACACAGGAAGAACTAGAAAGACCTCCAGGGGACCCAGGTCCCTGGACAAAGGAAGGACACCCTTTGAAGCTGCCAGAAGTGAGTGAATATTGTGGCACTAGAGGATGTCCTAAGAGCCCCAGCAAACAATGGACCATGGCCCAGGAGGCTCCCAGAAAGCAATGCCCAGTTCACCAGGCAAAAATTCCCTGCATATAGGTGACCCAGAAAAGTAACAGGAAGGAAACAATCCAAGAAATTCAGGGTTGGTATCTGTAGGGCATCAAGGCAGAAGGAGTCTAGGAAAGATGTGGGTCCATTCTTCCCAGCTCTGATGGCAAGTCAATCTTCTGGAGCAATAAGCCTGTACTTATAACCTATAAGGCTATAGTATCTCTTTAATGTGTAACAAGTAAACTGCAAATTCCTTAGCTCAGATGTCTAACCTTCCAAAATCTTTTTCAAATTTATCCCCTTTGAATCGACTCCCACAATCTGCTTCTCACTCTCCAATTGAGAGAAATCTAATTTCTCCTTGTTTTGCAGATACTAAGGATGCTTTCACACTCTATACTGTACCCAGATCATCTACTCTCCTCAGTTCACATAATTCTCCTGTGAATTCTCCATTGGTATTTGGAGATCCTGGTTGATACTAGATGGCGGTGATATTTTTCCAGCAAGAAAAAAAAACAAAAGGATTGGAGGAACAAAATATAACCAGGACAACCACCCAAAAATTATTGGAGGTACAGTTTCAACCACAGATTCAGGCTACAGTGAAAAATTATAAATTGTGAGTCTCAGGAAAAAAGTGGTGAATCAATCACTTTGGTGAAGCATCAAACATAGTTTCTGTCAGAGCAATTGACTTTGAGGTTCTTTGATTAATACTTGTTTCACCCCTTGTGGAGAAAGAGCTAATACAACCATTATCCTTGCTTAAGGGAAAATTTGACTTGGGTTAATTTTCCTGCTCATTACTCAAGACACCTGATGAAGGTGGTCTCTCTTTTCTGTATTACCAGATCAATGCCAGGTTTAGGGTGAAAAATAATCTATGACTGGACTCAGAAGGACTCCATGTAAACTATAAATTATAGCAGGTCTTCCTCCAGTATGGTGACTCTTGTAACTCAGTTGTCCCTCATGGGGTCCCTGAAAGTAATGACTACAGAGTTGTTACATGAGACATTGAGTCCCCTGGTTATGGCGCTGCTAAGCCAGGTGGATCCTGCACCCCCAACTAAGATGTCACTTAAGATGGGTAGTGGTCAACTTGGTGGATTGTTGTGTGGCACCTGCGAAAAGAGCAGCAACTGGTGGTGCCTTACTCAGATGCAGTGGTTCTTGGCATTTGTTTTTCCAAGTAAATCTGATGCAACTGGGAATCTAATTGTTCTGGGAGTTTAAATCAATGCCTAGTTAAGCAGACCTCCACGTTTGTGTTTGGCTGGACTCATTAGACCAAAAATTCTGAGAAGTCTCATGATATGTCTGTTTTCTTAAATGCTATATTGTCACTGACCAGCATCATGTGTGACACATGGTAGATGCTCAGTATATATTGGCCAAAAATAAATTGGACAGCAAAAGGTAGACTATAAATCTAATTACCATCTCTGAAGCCTTTGTGAATGCCATTTAAATCTGGGTAGCTGTTCATGATGACCTTGTTGAACAAGATTTCCAGAAGTGGCAGGTGATATTTCTCTTCCAGTTCACTGAAAACATCATACACCACCTTCGGTACAGGTACCTGGTTTTTGCAAGATTTTCTAGACTCCTTAAAAAACAGTGAATGGGGAAATATATAAGTAAAGAATTCCAAGTTACAGAAGAGCCCTAAGAAGTGATATCATTTCTAATGTGTTACAGTTTCCCCACATAGGTATTTTCTCATGTTCAGTTTTAGAATCTCTCTATGTTTGTATGGCTACTAAGTGAAATAAGTAAACTTTTCCTCATAAAAATACCCATTTGTGAATCTCATCTCCTCACTCTCATTTACATTACATGGAAGGAGGAACAATTTTGAAGAACAAGAATGGGTTCAAAGTTAGATGATGTGTAGCCCTTTCAGAACCTGGCCAAATGTTTTAACAATCAACTTAGCAGGTGATGGGCTGATGTTCCATTGACTAGACAGCCCTGTCCCTTCTGCAGCAATGAATTGGCCTGCAAGGGATCAGGGAAACCAGGTGGTGATTTTCCCTTCCTGTGAACTTTGCTATGAATTAAGCCTATTCATGGGGAAAGAGAAGACTTGCATCTCTGTATCTTCACCTACATCTTTTGCTAAAATTAACCTAAATTCCAAGATTCCATCAATACCAAAAGAAAACTTAAAACTGTTGAAGAGAGAATAACAAGCATCTACTTTCAAATTTGTGCTAACAAGACATCAGTTCCCTGTGGATTTTAATGTTCTCAAATCTAAGTATTTAAATTGATGTTCATTGAAATGAAAGGCTGTGTAAATTAGTCCATTAAATCAATTCATTAAGTTTATTCATCCATTCAATAAAATTACTTTGAATTACTAGTTTATGCCAGATTGTATATATAACTCCTACAAGGTATTATATTGTACATCTGTGGAGCCCACAGGCTTCAGATCCAGCCTATCTCTGGCGTTATTCACTTCGACACTAGGGGGACCACGGATCTCCATTCCTTCATTCAGAAAGAGGACTGTCTCTAGGGATACCTGCTTCTCTTCTCCCTTTTTACATTACAGGAACACTTAGAGAAGTCCTTGAGAAGGCCCCCACTCATAGCAGACTCCTCACTTCCCTAGTGGAGCCCTGACATTTGATCCTAAATCAAAACATGTCTAATTTGGGGCTGCTCTACCAGATTGACATAATAAACCTCACTTACTTCATACTTTTCATTGGTGATCAATCCACAGTCACGAAGCTTCTCAAAGAAAGGAAATATTGTTTTTATTGCATGTGAAATATCGACTTTATGTTCCTTGAAGAGTTTTAATGCAATCTCACACATAAGTCTCCGGTCTTCTGCAGACATCCTAGGGAGAAAGGATACCATGATAAAATGGTCATCAAGATTTGAGATGCTTGTGGTGGGTTTAACACTGTATATATGAAGGATAGAATGTGAAGAACCAACATGTATAGAAACAGTGGTCTTGACTAGAGACGAGGACAAATGGCATTGATGCAGTCAACAAATACATAATAGAAGGAAGCCTGGAGGATCAGCAAGACATACAGATGATTGAAAATGTCCAGACTCTTCAAATCAAAGACACTGTGAACACATCTTCTTCTAAATATATCTGTAATATTTTTTATTAAAAACTTCTATTTGACATAGTATTGGAATTTCTTGCCACAGCAATGAGAAACATCAAAAGAATAAAAGACATACTGGCAAAGGAAGAAGTAAAACTTTTGTTATTGGCACATGACAAGTATTATATTAGAAAACTCTAAAAACACTACCAAAAAACTATTAGAACTAATAAATGATGTCAATGCAGTTGAAGGATATGAAGTCAATATACAGAAATCTGGTGTGTTTCTATAACAAATGATCATAAGAAGAGATTAAAAAATAGCCCCTTTACAACCACATCAAAAAGGATAAAAGAGGAGCCACGTGCCAACTGGGAACGTAAGATGGCAGAGTAGCTAAGCATAGTGGTTGGTACTGAGTCTCTGGGCTGACTTTGGTTGGGGCCTTGGCAGCAGCAGTTATCACTGAGCAAAGAGGGCCTAGGGTAGTTGGCCAAGATGCCAAATATCAAAATCTTGAGTGGCAGCTCCAATCAGGACTTGTCCCAGAAATTTTGCTGATTGCCTGGGCCTGGAGCTAGGCAAGGTGGCAACTAAGAAATTCAGCAACCAGGAGACCTGTGTTGAAGTTGGTGAAAGCATTGCAAGTTCGATTCCCAGTCAGGGCACATGCCTGGGTTGCAGGCCACAGCCCCCAGCAACCACACACTGATGTTTCTCTCTCTCTCTCTTTCTCCCTCCCTTCCCTCTCTAAAAATAAAATTAAAATAAAATCTTTTAAAAAGAGAAATTTGTGAAAGGGTACATGGAGGGGATGTCTACATTGTTCAGAGTGGCTGTGGCATATTAACAACAAATCTAATGGAGCTTTTGATCATGATTAATGTCTGTAAGTTGCTTCAGCTAGCCGGTTACTGCAGTCATCCAGTGCTTTCCTTATGCCCAGCAGAATAGGAATGATAAGATCCAGGCTCCAATCTCAGCCAAGCTTGTTGCAAATATGCTGTCTATAGCAGGTGCAGGATCATATTATCACCATGGTCCTTCATGCTTCTCAAACTCAGGGATTTTTTGATATCCCTGTGGACAATTTGTATGCAGAGCCAGCTGTCCTAAAGTGGACAGAGAACATATCTGAGTAGAGGAACTGCATTATTGCCTCAGCTGATTCTGGGGGAGCTAAGAGAGTTACTTCTATTGCAGACTGGTTGAATGTTGACTTTGCCTTGACTCACAAAGCACAGAAGAAAGCCAATGAAGTAGGCCACATGGGGCTGGTGGGAGACGTGAAGGATCAAGTGGCCATTCTAGTGGATGACATGGCTGACACTTGTGGCTAAATCTGCCATGCAACTGACAAATTCCTTTCAGCTGAAGCCACCAGAGTTTATGCTATCTTGACTCACAGAATCTTTTCTGGCCCGGCCATCTCTCGCATTAACAATACATGCTTCGAAGCAGTAGTGGTCACCAATACCATACCTCAGAAGAATAAGATGAAGCATTGCTCCAAAATACAGGTGATCTACATCTCCATAATCCCTGCAGAAGCCATCAGGAGCACTCAAAATGGGGAATCTGCTTCCTACCTGTTTAGCCAGTCCTATAGTGTCCATTTATAATAGGATAACTTCTGAGGCTTTTAAAAAATAAAGTGAACCCCAATCCTTGTTAAAAAAAAAAAAAGAAGAAAATACATGGAGATAAATCTAACCAAAGAGGTCAAATACCTTTATTCTGAAAATTGTAAGTCATGATGAAAGATGCTGATGATACAAATAAATGAAAAAATATGCCATGCTCATGAATTGAGAGGATTAATATTGTTAAAATGTTCTTACTACCTGAAGTAATATACAGATTCAGTGCAATCTCTATTAAAATACATTCTTCTAAGAATTAGAACTAATCCTAAAATTTATATGGCAGTCCAAAGACCCTAAAATGCCAAAAAAAATCTGAAGAAGGAACAAAGTAAGAAGTATCACAGGCCCTGATATCAAACTAGACTACAAAGCTATAATAATCAAAACAGTATAGGACTGGCAATGAACAGATACAAAAATGAATGGAATAGAATAGAGTGCCCAGAAATAAATCCCCACTTACATGGCTAATTAATCTAAGCCAAAGGAGTCAAAGATATACAATGGGTAAAAAGAGTCTATTTAATAAGTGGTGTTGGCAAAATTGGATAGATACACATATAAAATTTGAAATTTTACCAGTTTTTATACCATATACAAAAATAAACTCAAAATAGATTAAAGACTTCACTCTCAGACTAGAAACCATAAAACTTGTAGAAGAAAATATAGGCAGTAAACCTTTTAACATCACTCTTAGCAACATCTTTTTGCATATATTTCTTCAAGCAAGGGAAAGAAAAAAATAAAGGAATGAGACTACATCAAACTAAACAGTTTTTTCAGAGAGAAGGAAATCATTAACAAAATGAAAAGACAACCTACTGAATGAAAGAAGACATTTGCAAATGATACGTCTGATAAAGGATTAATATTTAAAGTACATCAAGAACTCATATGAGTTAACACCAAAGAAACAAACAATCCAACTTATAATGGGCAAAGAATGTTTAAAAAGCTATCTCTCCAAAGAGGACATACAGATGGGCAACAGACAAGAAAAGGGGCTCAACATCATTAATCATAAAAGAAATTTAAATTCAAACCACAGGGAGATATCACCTCACACGTGTTAGAATGGCTATCATCAATAAATCAACATGTATGCAAATCCTGGCCAGGGTACAGAGGAAAGGGAACTCTTGTAATCTGTTAGTGGCATTGTAAATTAGTGCAATGACTATGAAAAGCAGTATGGACACTCCTCAAAAAATTAAAAATACAGCTGCCATATGATTCAGCAATTCCACTTCTTGACATTTATCTAAAGAAAATAACACTCGATGAAAAGATATATGTTACTCCTATGTTCATTGCAACATTATTAGTAACAGCTGAGATATGGAAGCAACCTAGATGTCCATCCATAGAGAAATGGATAAAGAAGATGTGACATATGGGCATATAATAATACATGCATATACAATGGATTGTTATTCAGCAATAAAAAAGAATGAAAGTTTGCCATTTGTGAAAACATGGATGGACCTAAAGTGTATTATACTAGGTGAATTAAGTCAGACAGAGAAAAACAGATACTGTATGATATCATTCATAGGTTAAATAAAATAAAACAAAATAAATGAATGAACCAACAAAACAGAGTCCTAGAATGTACACAAACCCACCCACCCAGGAATCGGCTCCAGAAGGACCCAATTTGCTTGAGGATAGAGAAGGAAGTGACTGGAAGTCAGCCGACAGCTGAGCAAGCAGCACTGTTCTCTCTGAGACCCCTTCTACATAGACAGCGCCACAATGCAGCGATGTGGGTTGTCCCACCCTGGCATATACCTAAGGCTCCACCCCTTACTACATCACACACATGCCCAGACAATAAAAAAAAAAAGGCCCAAATGAAAGAACAGATAAAAGCTACAGAAAAAATACAACTAAGCAAAGAAGAGATAGCCAACTTCTCAGATGCACAATTAAAAACACTGGTAATCAGGATGCTCACAGAATTGGTTGAGTATGATTGCAAAATAGAGGGGAAAAGTGAAGGCTATGAAAAGTGAAATAAAGGCAAATGTACAGGGAACCAACAGTGACAGGAAGGAAACCAGGACTCAAATCAACAGCTTGGACCGGAAGGAAGAAATAAAAAGTCAACTAGAACAGAATGAAGAAATAAGAATTCAAAAAAATGAGGAAAGGCTTAGGAACCCCCAGGACAACTTTAAATGTTCCAGCATCTGAATCATAGGGGTGCCAGAAGGAGAAGAGGAAGAGCAAGAAATTGAAAACTTATTTGAAAAAATAATTAAGGAGAATTTCCCCAATCTGGCAAAGGAAATAGACTTTCAGGAAGTCCAGGAAACTTAGAATCTCAAACAAGTTGCACCCAAGGAAGCACACACCAAGGCACATCATAATTACATTACCCAAGGTTAAAGATAATGAGAGAATTGTAAAAGCAGCAAAAGAAAAGGAGACAGTTGCCTATAAAGGAGTTACCATAAGACTATCAGCTGATTTCTCAAAAAGAAACCTTGCAAACAAGAAGGGGTTGGAAGGAAGTATTCCAAGTCATGAAAGGTAAGGACCTACATCCAAGCTTACTTTATCCAACAAAGCTCTCATTTAGAATGGGAGGGCAGATAAAGTGCTTCCCAGATAAGGTCAAGTTAAAGGAGTTCATCATCACCAAGCCCTTATTATATGAAATGTTAAATGTTATATGACTTATCTAAGAAAAAGAAGATGATCAAAACTATGAACAGTAAAATGGCAACAAACTTGCAACTATCAACAGCCAAACCTAAAAAAAAAAAAAAAATACCTAAGCAAACAACTAGAACAGGAACAGAATCACAGAAATGGAGATTACACGGAGGGTTATGAGTGGGGAAGGGAAGGGGGGAAAGTTACAGAGAATAAGAAGCATAAATGGTAGGTAGGAAATAGGGAGAGGATAAGAATAGTGTAGGGAATGTAGAAACCAAAGAACTTATATGTACAACCCATGGACATGAACTAAGGGGTGGGGGGAATGTGGATGGAAGGGGGTGTGCAGGGTAGAAGGGAATAAAGTGGGGGGAATGGGACAACTGTAATAGCATAATTAATAAAATATATTTTAAAATATAAGTAAATAAAGAACAGTGATACCATTACCACCATACACACACAAACGCACACGCGCACACACACACACACTATATATATAATATTAGCTAACGCATTAGGACAGGAAAAAGAATTCAATGGTAAAACACTAAAATAAGATACAATATTATACGATGTAAGAATATAGATGGAGAAACAAAACAGACCTAACTAAATTCCCTGACTAGAAAAAAAATTTTCCAAGAAGCATGAATTGTTAAAAGGTACAGAAAATTAACAAATTGTATTTGCAACAATGTCCATTGAAAAGAGCCTTAAAATGATGCTCAAACACACTCATATTGATAAACATCTAAAAGTTCTGAACCTATAATATAAAAGAAGCTATGATGTTTTACTGAAGAAAATTAAACAAGATCTAAATAAACGGAGATGAGAAAGTGCCTCCAATTAGGAAAACATAGCAATTTTAAAATGTCAATCCTTCTGAAATTATTGTAAAAGGGTGGTACGCTTGCAATTTGTAATCCAATTGAACCTAGATAATGAAATTTAAAAATTTATATGACAGAAGAAATACCTGAGTCAAGCAAAGAGAAGTATAAAAAAGAAAGTTTGTGGGGAAGACAATGGGTTCAAATGTTAGAAATATAGTAAGATAGTAAAAGAATATAGAAAAATATTTTCAGCACATAGGTCTAAGGGGTAATGTATCTGATATACAAAGACTTCAGTCTATTAACAAAAAACAAACAAACAATCAAAAACCATGACATAAAATCCCAAAGAAAATGGACCTGAACAGTCACTTACAGAAAAGAGAATATAGCGGTTCAGCCACTAAGAAGGCAATTTGGTAGAATCTATACACAATTAAATATTAGGACCATTTGCCTCAATAAATATAACTTCTGGCTTTTAACACAAGACAAATACTTGTATATATGCAAAAACATAAAGAAATATATGATATTTTGTTATGTAAATATATGTTATATTAACGATAAATATATTGTTATTATTGCAATTTGTTGGTAACACTAAACAATTAAAAATGATATAAATTATTTAAATGGAACAAATTTTAAAATTATGGTGTATTGATTCCATGGAGTAGTACGCAGCTTTAATAAGAATGATGGTGGACCCATAGGTTTATTAATGTGAAAAAGTACCCCTAAAAATTTTAATATTAAAATTTTGAAAATGTAAAATCCAGAATGATATATACAATATAATCTCATCCATTAAAAAACAAGACAGAAATTACACATTTAGGAAAACAAGTCATGTGTGTAAATGCGCAGGAGGGACATAAAAGGCTGTGCCCACAGCCCTCAGCAGGCCCAGAGGGAAGCTGCAAGGGATGGGTGCTGAATAGGACTGCTTCATTCTGTATATGTCCCTGTCATTTACAATTTTATGACCAACAATGTATAATGTATTTTTGTATTAGAAAACCAAACAATGAAACATATCAATGCTGCTATTTCTGGCCCATTACTAAAGGTAGAATTTCTAGCCTTTTCTTTGTCAGAGGTAGCATCCATCCAGAGCAGAAAATGGAAGCACAAACGAAACACTCAGCCTGTACCGATCTTTGGCATTTTGGTCCTCCCTCTTCCTTTGACTTCCTTAGATCAAGGAGGAAGGAAGGAAGAACCAGACCCCCAGCCAGAGACCAGAGTAGGCCCTGTGCTGAACCGTCCCCAGGTCAAGTAGGAGACCAAGGCACCCAGATTTGAAAAGTCAGAGGTTTACCCTGAATTTGATATTTTCTAAAGTACTGTCTTTGAATCGATCTAGGTGAAGGTAGAGGGGCCCTAGGGGAACTAGAGAGCACAGAGGTCATGAGAGAATAACAAATCGCTGCCTCAAAACCTCAGGAAGTACAACCCACTCGAGATGGCTCCACAGCGGAGCAGTAGGTATAAGATGAGAGCCCTGTGGGCTGTGGCAGCTATGCTCACACCAGCGGCTGTCCTTCTGGAGTTTGAAGATCCGATTTCCTCACTACATATTCCTGCATTCCACTGCACTGCACGTGAGTGTACGTGTAAAGCAGGACTAAGGTCAAGGGTTAGTTCAGTGTCTAATGACAGACACTAAAGCAGCAGTGCTGCCAGAGAGGAAGTTAGAGGAAGGTAGATAAAGACTAACCTGGTGCTGAGATCACTGCCCCCACTGGCCACTGTCCTGCCGTGGGCCCTGCCGGGTCCCTTGATCCTTTCTGAGCCCCCAGCCTGGTTTCAGCGTGGCTGTCCAGCCCTAAGCAGGAATTCTGTGAATTGACTCAGCCAGGGAGAGCTCCACCCGGATGGGGGAAATAAAAGTGAAAGTAACTTTTCCAGTGCTGTCTCCTTCCTCCTGCAGATCCAGGGTAGTTCATAGCCATCAGGACCTGTGGCAAAAGAAATGGAGTTCAAGGAGGGACCCTCAGGACCTGGAGGCCAGGGGAGGGGACCTCCAAGAGGACTCCAGTCCTCAGGATTCCCTTTGTTTGTGCAAAAACAACAAAAAATTCTGTGAATTGCCCTGTCCTCGCTGCTCCAGCTTTCTGAGAGGGTGCAGAGGAACAGTTAGGTCTCTGTGTTCAGACACAGGGCTGGAGAAACACCATTCTCACAGCGATGGTTTCTACGTTTGTTCCCTGAGTCCGACTTCCCCCAGCTGCGCCTAAGGGTTCTCACCCAATTACATTTAAGATACAGGGGAAGTGTCTACCTACTCTCCACCTCTGTTCTTTCTTTTCTCCCAAAGAAGTATACTGGAAACATCTCATTTTGGCTGCTTGTGAGATTTTAATTCCCTGCAAAGTTACCCTGTGTTCACTTTCCTGAAGACTAAAGCATTGTTCTCTAAATATTGCTCAGAGTTTCTAGCTGTTTTCTTCAAAAGTATGGCTTGTTGGGGACTCTCTCCTGCAGATCAGAAGCAGAACTCTCTGTGCTAGCCTGTAAGCAGCAGACCACCCATCCCTGCCACTCCCAGGTCCAGCCCTCTTCTGGCTTCTGGAGACCCTGTTGGGTCCAGTGCCTCCAAACCCCCCGCGCATCAAGAAGGAGAGATGCTGCTGTGTTGAGCATCAGAGGAACATATTTGTTAGGAGACACAAACCAGATGAGATACACTTTGTACTTCTGTGTTCACAGAAGCACAAACACACACCTATTTAGAGTGGTCTTCTTTCACAAGCAAAATAATCAGCAAATGATATGCCTGGAGAAAAAAACATGGATTACCACAGAATTTCTGCTGGAATTAATACTTACAAACCATCTATACATATGAAACATATAAGTTGTTGCCAAAAAGCTTAAGAATATATAATACATATAAGTTCTGTCCAGATAAAATCCAGCCATTGTTACTAAAACGAGAATGGTTTGCACGACATCAGTGCAACCTGGCAGCCAAGGGGAGTGGACTGGAATGCATATGTGTGAACAATGATGGCTTTACTGTACTAGTCAGTGGGGACAGTAGACATCATTCAGTGAGCATGTGTACTGTGTGGCTGTCGCATTCAAAATGACCGAGCGAGTAGATCAATGAATCTGCATCAAATTTTGTATTAAGCTTGAACATTCCTCCATGGAAACTATTCAGATGATTCAGAAGGCCACAGCTATGGACATTGGTGATTGGCAGCTTTATCACAGCAATGTGCCCCCTCATGCATCATGTCTCGTGCAGAATTTTTTAGAGAAACATCAAACCACCCAAGTGACTCAGTCCCCCTACAGCCCAAATGTGGTGCCCTGTGACTTCCGGTTTTCCCAACACTAAAATCACCTTTGAAAGGGAAGATATTTCTGACCATCAATTAGATTAAGGAAATACGACAGAGCAGCTGATGGCAATTGGATGAACCTTACTTTGAAGGGGACTGAGGCATCATTGTCCTCTGTACAATGTTTCTTGTATCTTATATCTTCAATAAGTGTCTCTACTTTTCATATTATATGCCTGGATAGTTTCTAAACAGACCTCGTACATGTATTGTTGTTGTTGTTATTGTTAAAGGAGAAGACTGAGTTATGGTCATTGAATCTGCATTTTGTTTCAAGAATTTATATGCAGCCATCTTTTTCCAAGAGATTTGGGCTCAGTCTTCCCTCTGTCTCCTTCTTGCTCTACATTCCTTGTGCATGTAACAATAGGAGAAAGAGCACCCAACTATATGTAGTTGAGAGTTCAGGTTATGTTTTTACAATATTAATTACATGCTCCTTATTTTAGCTTGAAGAACATCTTTTAGCATTTTTTAAAAAGGCAGTTCTAGTGTGATGAACTCCCTCTGCTTTTGTTTGTTTGGGAAAGTCTATTTTTTCTTTATTTCTGAAGGACTGCTTTGCTGGACACTAATCTTGGTTAACAGGCTTTTTTATTTCAATATTTTGAATATACCATCCCACTTTTTCTTGACCTGCAAAACTATCTGTTCAGCAATTTGTTGGTAGTCTAATGGGGGCTCCATTGTATGTGACAAGTCACTTTTCTCTTGCTGCTTTCAAAATTCTGTTTGTCCTCGTATTTTGACAATTTACTTATAAAGTATGTCAATGTAGCCCTATTCAGATTTAACCTATTGGGTCCTTTGAGCTTTACAAATATGAATGTTCATTTCTCTCCCCAAATTTGGAAGTTTTCAATCATCATTGTTTTAGATAGACTTTCTGTCCTTTTCTTTTTCTTTTCACCTTCTAGGAGTACCGTGATCTTATATATTTTTCTTGATAATGTCTCCTAAATCCTATGGGCATCCTTCACTCATTTTCATTCTTCCTTTGTTCCTCTGTCTGGATAATTTCAAATACTTGTACTTTAGTTCACTGATTTTTTTCTTCTACTTGATTGACTATTGAAGCTCTCTGTTGAGAATTCCTCAGTACAGCTATTGTCTTCTTTAGTTCTAGCATGTCTGTTTGACTTTTTTAAGATTTTATTTCTTTATTTTTAGAGAGGGAAGGAAGGAAGAAAGAGAAAGAGAAACATCAATGTGCGGTTGCTGGGGGTCATGGCCTGCAACCCAGGCATGTACCCTGACTGGGAATCGAACCTGTGACACTTCGGTTCACAGCCTGTGCTCAATCCACTGAGCTATGCCAGCCAGGGCCTGTTTGATCTTTTGATAGCTTCCTTTTCTTTGTTGAACTTCTATTTTTTGTTCATGTATGATTTCCTCATTTAATTTAGTTGTCTGTGTGTTCTTGTAGTTCACTTAAATTCTCTAAGAGGATAATCCTGAACTTTTTTGTTAGACAGTTTATAGATCTTCATTTTTATAGTAACAGTTATTAGAATTTATTAGTTTCCTTAGGTGGTTTCATGTCTGCCTGATTCTTCATAATTCTTTTTTAAAGGTTTTATTTATTTTTTTAGAGAAGGGAAGGAGAAAGAGAGGGAGAGAAACATCAATGTATGGTTGCCTCTCACATGTCCCCTACTGGGGACCTGGCCCACAACCCAGGCATGTGCCCTGACTTGGAATCAAACCCATAACCGTTTTGTTTGCAGTCCAGCACTCAATCCAATGAGCCACACCAGCTAGGGGTGGTTCTTCATAATTCTTGATTCCATGTGTTGGTATCAGCACATTTGAGTAAGCACTCTTTTCTTCCAGAATTTATAGCTTCACTTCAGCAGGGAAAGACCTTTATCAGTCAGCTCAGGCTGTAGATGGAAGAGCTGGTGGTGTTTATGTGCAGGTGAGGCATATTATGAACATCTCCATTGGCCAAGGCCACTTCCATACTCTGAGATTGAGGGGTAGATGCTGGTTGAGTTTTATGGTTGGCTGGGCTCCCTGACTGAGTAGTGCTGCTAGGTGTGCACTGCATTCAGAGTGGCTCACTTGCTTGACTTTGAAATCACCTGTTGTCTGGTGAGACTACAATGATGGAGCCACTGGTTAGACTCCATGATTGGACAATGCTACAGGGTGGACCTTGCAATGGCTCCTGTTTCAGTGAAGTTTCAAGCTATGTTCCTCAGCCTAATTTTAAGTAGGCTGTGCTCCACGTTTAGGAGGGGCAACGTGCAGGACTTCACTGTCAGATCTGACCCCATGCTATGGTCTGTTATAAGGCACAGCAGAAGCCTGTTCCCTGAATTAAGAAGGGCCATGGGTTGGCAACACAATCAATAAGGCTGCTTGCTGTGCTCTGCTGTTCAGCATGGTTTGGCCACACTGAATTTGGGATGGGTCTCCAGCTATATTTTGCAGTTGGTGGGGCTAATGACTCCATTGTTGGGCCAGATTAACCAGGCTCCTTCATTGGGTGGGGCTTAAACTAGGCTTTATGAGTGAGTGAACTCACTGGCTAGGCTGCTGTATCAGTGAGGTCACAGGTTGTTTTGACAATTGGGCAGGGCCATAGGCTGGGCTCTGCTGTTGGACAGAGCTATCGACTGGGTTCCATGGCTTACCGGTATAATAGCCTTGTCCATTTGGCTTCTGAGTTCTCTGGCCAAATTTACTGAATGGTCAGGACTGAGAACTACTTTCAAAAGGTGAGCAGAGTTGGAAAGTTGCTTTACCACTTGGGTGGGATAGTAGAATGGGCTCCATAGCTGCTATTACCTGACTGGGGACACAAATCAGGTAGAACTGTCAACTAAGTTTCCTTGCCATATGGGACCCACTGGCTCAGCTCTGCAGAAGAGGAGAGCCACTAGCTGGGATATCTGCTCAGATACCACTACACACAGGAATGTGGCCCTCCAAGGTCTATGTGCTGGTTGCCGTAAGTCCCACACCTGCTTAAGTTTCTATTAGTCATCTAATAGACATGAATCACCTAGCTTTTCTAGAAGCCAAACTACTGAATAAATGAAGATGTAATAAGGATGGATTACTGCTCATGCATATTTAAATATTTGCAGGTGGCACTAATCTGTCATTCCCTCCTTCTCCAGGAATATGATATTGCTTTCAAATTACTATTTTTACCATAGAAAACATTAGTTTCAGGCCTTCGGCTTGACCTTTCCTGAAATAGCCATTGCTATTTTGTGGGTTTATGAATGGTAGGTTAAAGAACCAGTTTGGTTAACGACTATGTGAGTCCTGATTATACATTTGGGATCTTGGGAAATGACTGCTGAGTGGCCCCACGGATTGAGTGGACTCACCATAGATGAATATTACCTTACCTCTATACATTCTGCTCTAACAGGGGTCATGATGGTGCTTTGGGTCTGTAGGTATTAGGATCAGTTCAGATACTGTATCAACAAAACTTAATACTTGGTTATATTTGGTTTTTTCCCTTCTTTTCTGGTTTTTTTTTGGGGGGGGAGGGTCTGGTACATGGATACTTGAATAAATGGCCATGAGTCCTCTCAGTGAAGAACTCAGAGAATCACTACTATGTACATTTGCTCATTTCTGTCATCAGGTTCTAGGTCCAAAAATTTGCTCGGGCCTGGAAACTGAGCATAACATTTTGACTTTCTATTGGCATAGCTGACATCAGCCATCTACTTTTACTTAGTATTGATTGTGTGTGTGTGTGTGTGTGTGTGTGTGTGTGTGTGTGTGTGTTCTTGTGGCTATACTTCCATCTTGTCTTAACAAAACCATGTCCTATTAGCTATCTCTATCTATCTCTATAGATATCCATAAGCCACCACCTCATGGTCTTATTCTCACCTTGCAGCTTACAACAGATTACTTCACTTAGCTCTGAAATTTAAATTCTGCCACATGATTCTATTATTCTTAAATATAATTGTTTTGTTTACTACCCAGGAATCCAGCTGTGTGAAGCACTCCTACATTATTTTAACCCACAGAAAACAGCCCTGCTGAGCATCTCAAGGATGCTGGTGCCCCCTCAGAAGTGTGTTCCTTGTTACCTTGTTCCTTTAGTGTCTCTGAGGCCTCCTGAAGACACACTCACATGACGGATGGGTTTTCCAGTTGTGGAGTGTAAGGCTATGCCATCTTCCCTATGACTTTGGATCCCCCTTTTCCATAGTCAGCCCTGGCAAGTCAGGTATTTCTTCCTCCACTTCCTCTAGTATGAACCTTGCCTTTGAACAAGCCTCTAGGACACAAGTGGCAAACACAAGGGCCCTTCACCTTGTTTTATCCAGCCCAGCACCTTGTTTCTACTTGGCGGCAGTGCCGAACTCTTGCTTAATTGTTAAAGAGTAGTTACATTTATACAGTCCTAACATTACATTCCTCCCTTTGAAGGCAACCATGAGGCTGATGTGGCCCCTGGTGAAAGTGAGTTTGACACCCCTGCTCTAAGAGCTCCCCAGGAGCATAATAGAATCATCACCTTGGTCTTTTACAGGCCAGTTACACTCTCTGACACAGGAGGGTGCACCTGTATCAACAATTTTTCCTTTTTAGTTTCATATTCCCTTTTCTTCATTCAGAATCCACTCCCAGACTCAGTCCTCTGGTACCTGTAGGTATATGTTGGTCAGCCTGGAGTTCCATTGGAATAGAAACCCTCTCCTCACCTAGTCACTCCACCCAGGACTTGCCAATTGAGTCATGCTGAAAGGACTCTGCATATTTTTTATTCAAGTAAGGAGGGAGATTGGGTAGAGGGTCTGTCTTCCAACAAGGGGCAGAAGATTCTTCTGCAGACCAGTGGATGTAGGGAACCTGGAGTTCAGAGTTCTCATGTAAAACTACCTAGAAATCCCCATTCTTGATAGAAAACTACCAGGACCCCCTACTATATAAGGGTCTTGATTTTGGCACAAGAGGCCAAACTGAGCCTAGAATTCTGCTTTTTCTAAAGTTTTGCATTCTTAACATTAGAACCTGTTTCAGGCCTTTCTACTGTCTGTCTTTCAACTACAGGCATGAGCGTCTCTTTGCTTTAGGTGGTGACTATAAATTTAAGCCTGTCATGTACGCTTTTTGACACATTTGTCACACTTAGCAAGCGCCACCAAAATCCACAGTTCTTATAGCTACTATTTCTCCCTTTGTAAATGCCAGAAAGTTGTACCAGCTAGGACCTCTTCCCCTCTGCTCATCCGGTTTCCTACAGGTGAACTTTTGTCAGTGACACTGTTGTAGCATCCAGGCACTATCAATATTCTGCCTGTCACTGCCTGGCTAGACAGTGATCCAACCCAAGTATCCCATCCTTAGGGCCTGATTGCTACTACCATTTTCTTGTGATCCCTCAAAGAAGAGCCTGACATGAAGTCCCTTCAGTCAGTCGTTTATTGTGAGAAATCTCTCAGGAGAAGGAGCGGTCAGGGGAGCAGGATGGCATGGTGGAAAGCTAAGCGAGGATCTGGTCACAGCTGGGACTAGCTCCAGCCTGAGCTGGGTAGGGAGCATGAGTCATGCCACTCAGAGGTAGATTGGCAGCCAACCCTCACAGCAGCCACAGAATGACAAGTCGGTCCCCAAGGGTGATTTCCTGCAGTACCAGCAGCATTCAGTATACCGGTGAACTGCTTCCATTTGTTTCCTGAATAGCAAACACTTCCTTGAAAGTCTTCTCAAATTCCGCCTCCAGTCTAAGGCCCATTAAGCCAAAGTCATTGTACTAGAAAAAAAGATAAATAACAACAAAAGTAATGCCACTCATCCTCAGTGTTTAGAAACACTGCATTTGAGAATCATTGCTTTAATCACCAAAGTTACATTAACCAGGTTAAGACAAAAAATTCATGTGGCTAAGAGTAACTTCTGAGTCCAAGTGCACAACTGATTCATGTTAACTAGGCAAAAATGGGAAATGATGACCACATGTGGGGACTCTTTTTTTTTTAATTGCTTTGTGAAGCTTCTGGGTTATTCATTTATTTTTTATTCTTCTTTAATCTATTATCGTCCTCATTGGCTTGGCTTGTTTATTTTAGCAACAGAAGAATAATAATACATGCTCTTCGCAACAATCCAATATTAAATGCAACCAGTGACCTTCCTTTCACAGTGTCACATTATTCCCCCCTGCTGACCCCTGTTAACTATATGGACATTCACACGCAAAGGACTCTGCAGTTGGGGATCTCTGAGAGGTCTGACTGAATATATTTGAGGAGAGACAAGAACAACAACATGACTTTAGGGCACAATCTTTTCCTGAGGTTTGGAGCAAGGAAGATGTGACTGTTCCAAACAGGTGCCTGTCACCTTTCCCAAGGAGAATGAACTCTCAGGGCCCTGGGGTTCTGGCTGCAGGGACACCTCCTGACTCACTGTTACTCCGCCCAGGGAGCTTAAATCCTGAGTTTTAAAAGTGACTCACTTCCTGAACTCTTGCTGGTACAGGCTCATCATAAAGGATGCATTATTTCCTGGATACCAAAATTTCCCAGCACCAGGAAATGAGGGCAGAGTAAGTCTACAGAAAGAAAATTAAACTGAAGCAGGAGAGACACTTACCTTGTACGATGCCCTGTGGTTCTGAAAGATGAGGCGCATGTCCCGCACAAACTCCTCCACTTTGCAGTAACACCTCTTACTTAGCCTCTTCTTGATTTTGTCCAACCACATAGGTTCCCTTAGGTTTTGAGAAACTTCTTTGATCTGGTGGAGGAAAATATCATTGAGAGAATTACTGGCATAGTTCAATGTCTGCCTTCTGTGAATTCCCAGCACACCCAACAGAAATCCAAGGTGAACATAAAGACAGTTTGTGTCTCCTTCCCAGGGGCTGGAGATCTCAAATCCCACAACAGCCAGTGTCAAGGTCAGGTAACATCATGGCAGCTTGCATTCATGATCTATTATTGTTACTCACATAATAATAATATGGAATCTTCGCAAAAAATGTGCTCTCTGTATGGCAATATACTTTCAAGAGGAGGAACTCACATTTCTACAAAAGAAGGAAGATGTGAATGAAAAGCAACTTGGAAAGAATGAGTCCATATATGTGCAGGCATGCCCATACGAGTCTTCTGGAAGTTTCTCCAAACAGCTTTTGCTCTAAGACAGTCATGTTGGCTGAATGATTCTTTTCTGCAAACAGTTTCTGGGGAGTTTTCAGAGTGGCTGAAGTGTAATCAGAGGAGCAGGAGGGCTCTGATACCCTTTCTCTAACTCTACAACTGTTTGACTTCTCACATTGAGCAGAAAGGAGGAGACTCGGCATTTGGATTTGACTCACCAGCTGTTCCTCAGGCCCCATTGGCCTCGCCAGGACCTCAGATTCCCTGATGCACTGCTGACTTCCTGAAAACTCCTTTATCCTGCAGAAGATGCAACTCCACGGGCTCCTGAGAGGTCAGGTAAAATGAATAAGACAAAGTCTCAGAAACAAGCACCATTCCTATGGCTGCCTCAGTTCTTCTTTTAGAAATGGCTGATGGGAACAGCAGGTGCATGAAGTGAATACCTCCCAGAAGCTGTAAGACCCTTGTATCCATCAAAAGTAAAAGCAGGGGGTGAGTGTGTGGAGGGCTTTGTCAGTGTAAGTGGTGGGCTCTCCTTTCCCCATCTGAACTGCTGGGAGCACAGGGAGCCCTGTCCCCCAGGCCTGAGTGTCAGAGACAGGACCTTAACTTAACCCTGGGGACCTTAGGCCTTCATCAGCCAGTTGGGAAGGTGGTGAATTCAGGAAACTAGTCCATGTTTTCTGCCTTTTCTGGGTAAGCACAGAACACAAACAACTGGCATTTCCACTCCTATAAACAGTAGTCTCTGCTGGGAAAGTTCTGGAAAGGACAGTAGTAGCACTATGAAAGCAAAAGATGCAGCCACTGGCCTCCACCTCCCAGAGGAGAGAGGGGAGCATTACCCTCCTGCTGCCAGCATCTTTCAACAGCTCCCAGGATCATACTGCTGGACTTGCACATCCAGCACCATTCTGTCCCCATCGGGTCACAAGGAGGAGTTCAGCAGGGGGAGTGTGCATGGAAGGAGGAAGGGTCTATAAAAGGAGACAGGGGGCTGCATCTCACAAACCTCTCAGTCTCCACAGGAGGAAAGTGACAGTCCTCATGAAAGGATCTGGAACATGTGTCACAGCAGAAGAGTGTTCCTCCATCCAGGCAGATCTCACATATGTCTGAATTTCCCACCTGGAAGGTAAAACAATGACCACATCCCCAAGGGCCCCTGACCACCAGTGCTGTGGGAATCCAGGACCCATGGCCTTTGTGTGAACCTGCAGGGATGCCTGTGTGCTTCTCTGAACTCTGAAGGGACAGCACAGAGTGGATGTTTAGAAGAATTCTTTGTCTGCAGTGAATTTCAGGAGTGCCTGTGTGACCAGACCAGAGAAGTTTTGCCTATGAAACCAGAGATCCTAACACAGAAAGGCAGGCCAGAAAAGAGGATGATCTCATGAAAATCTGAATAATGTTATTCCCATGCAGACAAAATGAGTTCCTGAAATAGTGTTAAAAACCCATTTGTCTACACCACAATGGCATAATTTATTGGGTGGGCAGTGGAAATGGGAGATGTATTGAGAATTTGATACGATGGAAAAGACTTCTTAATGTAGAAAGTAATAAAAGATAAAAAGACAATAATTCACAATTACTTTGAGTCTTTTTTGTGGGTTCTGTGTTGAAAATAGTTGGGTTGGCTGGATTGGGATTCTGGCCATTTCTTTTGTTATCAAAAATGGTCGTATATGAGGGAGTGTAACCCCAAAAATGTCCTGCAAAGACCTCCCATTCAGTGTACTGGGGGGTTCAGACGCATATTGCCGGTGGGCTCTTAGATTCTCTGTCAGCCAGATGTGGCCAATATTTCATCCTGTGAGTATAGACACTCACAGATACCAGCATCATTCTCCAAAACTGATAATCCCTCTCTCCAAAAAACCAAAAGAACAACAACAACAAAAAAGAAAATGACAAACATAACCAGTTGTTAAGAATCTCACTTATATAATAATCTTTACAGGTGTGTCTCTCTGAATCTTTGCCCAGCTACACAATAGAGTCTTCCAAGGAGACTGTATAAGATACTAGTGTCCTAGTCTTGGCACTAGACATTGTGAATTACCTGGTCTGGATGGGGTGCAGGCATTGATATTCTTCATTGAGTCATAAAAGGGGTAATTTTGTGTATTGGAATCATCCAGGGGCTTTTAAATAACCCTAATATACAAGTTATAGCACAGGGTGATTAAAACAGATTTTTCTCTAGGGGGTAATCTAGATCTTCAGATGACCCCAGTGTGCAACCTAATGGAGATTTAGACTGAGCAGAGGCTGGTCAATAAGGCAGAGGGATATTATAAGTCCATGTTGAACTGGCCTGTAATGTCAATTCTAGGAAAGAGACTGACAGGAGTGTGGGTACTCTTGCCATCTCCTCCTCCTTCAGCCCTGGGCAGTGAGACCCAGTCTTCTCTGTCTACACCAATCAAAAACAAGCCTCACAAACACTGGACTCCTCTTGAGATGACTGAGGATTCCCTAAGTTGGCTGAAGGTCAAAATCCATGGGAATAACATCTACATCCTATCAGGGGATTGCTTGGAGGTAAAGTCTATGGAGAACTATTTGACTGACCCTCCATTGTGGATGTCATGTATCAATATTACTGCATCACATCCTATGGAGTGCTGTCCCCTGGAGTTGTGCAAAGGTGACTCTGCTTAAAATGTGCATCACTTTGTCACAATGAAAGAAATCAATGTATGATTTAGCTTAGACAGTGGAATCTTCCCTGGGTTTGGCAGACCTCAAAACAGGCAGCCATATGGTATCAGTGTGAGTAAAGATGCCCAGATTTGCTATGTGGTGGTGGTTTGATTCCTAACCTCCAGCTCAGCACCTTGATGGTTCCCTTGAGGTTGGATGCAGGGCCCCAGTAAAGGACCCAGCTGCCCTGCATGCATGTCTCAGTGGGTCTCATCTCTGCAAGTACATCTTGAACTTGGCTGCATGGTCTGGCCAGTGCCTTCTGCCTGATGCATGAAACCATCTTAGCTCTGCCTGCATGGTGGGGTGAATACTTGGCATGTTCCTCCCTTCCCTTCTGCTTTCTTAAAAATGCTGCTAACCACTCAAATTTGTACCTTACCTCTAATCTGCAGGCCTGCCCTGTCTATTTCTACTTCAAGTCCCATCTCTAAGCAACCCAGTGGACTAGAGTTCTGCCTCCCATACTAACAGGGAATCAAGAAGGTTTCCACCAAACAAATGCAAAGGATGCTTTAATACTGAGACACCCAACTCCAGAACCATCTACCTGACGTGGATGATGCATTTCCTATTCTCTGCTCAAAATACACAGCAGCATGTTCCAGCTGAGTGTGAGCGCACTTCAGAGAAAGGTGACAACGAGACAGGTAAAATACCAAGGGAAAAGGCTAGATTATTTGGGGATTTAGTACTTACACACAGGTCAGCTAAGATACTATTGTGAGAGTTTGATATTCTCCGCTGAAAAAAGAGAAAGAGTGACAATAATGAATGGGATATTTGCACCCATCATTTATTTATACAGCCATCTTTGAGGGATTGCATTCACAATCTATCCATTATTTCATACATACTTTTATGAAACCTATATATCTACAAAGAGAATTAAAAGTGCTAAAGTAGTACTGTTTGGCCCAATCTAGTTACGTGCCCTGGCTCTCAGACCCAAGGTGGGCCTATGTGAAGTCATGCAGGGAGAGTGGCCCAGCTTTCACTAAAGTAACTGGAGGAACCCTTCTGGTTCTCCCACTTTAAGGGACCCTCAAGCTTTCTTCTCTGTATCCCACCAGAGTAGCTGCAATGAGAGGATCAAGCTGAGGACTCATCATCCACAGCCTCCAGCAATCACAGACCCCAGATTCCTGCAATCCATGCCAGTGTCCCAGAGAAGAATTCCATCACCCTCTGAAGCTCTTCTAGGGTGTAGCTTCAAAGATAAATGAGTTCAAGGACTGCAGTGTTGCCATTCTTCTTCCAGAATGTCACCCACTTTTCTTCTCCATTCAAATCCCAGATATCAGTTAGGTGGCATTTCAGAGGTAACTGACTGCCACTCACTAGACCTATATTGCTCATGCACATTCAGTAGAATGACTTCCCCTCTAGATTCAAACAGCCTCAACCTTACTCTCCAGCCCAGGGCAGAGAGGTCATAGACAAGTGTCATCCACTGGACAATCACCTGAGAGGTGGCCATGTCACTGCCCACCTCCTTGTGTGGCCTAGATTCCCCCAGCCCTACCCATTATTCATTCTTCCATATTTGACAATAAATTTGAAAAATCCTTGAAGTTAAGGATATTGTTTGAATCTTCTTTAATGGATATTGGGCATTTAGTATGAACTCAACAATTTTATGTTCAACAAGAGAATGAATGAGTATTGTGTCACTTAAAATAGATTACTTGCTACTTCTTAAGCAAACATTAGCATACATTGTTCTTGAGGAATGTATTATTTCACAAAACAGAATGCATAAACCTGGACCTCACATCCCCAGTGGAAGATGAAGTCCCATTGGCCGGCTCTATATGACCTATTTTAGGATGATTCTGAGAATGTCTTAGATGGCCATTTCTACCTGAAGTACATAAAAAGAGTATTTCTTTCCTCTCCAAAGTACATAAGAAGAGTATTTCTTTCCTCTCCCACTACCTTAAGTTCTCATTCATACCCAGTCTTAGAAAAGCCATCACTTTGTCCTCCCTCTACACTACACATTATGTATTTGTTTGTTGCCTCCATAGTCTTTTTCCATAGAAGGAGAAATACTTTCACAGATAGAAAGGAGGCCTGACCACTCTTCTGCTGGAGACAAAGGGGCAGCATCAAAGTAAACAATTTTCTGGGCCAGGCCCTCCTATATACAGGGATCTCCCAAAATCTTCTTCCCCACAAGCAGCATTCTCATGAAGGCAAATAGTTTACCCCCTGAAAAGAATTCTGTGTGACTCTGTGCACATTTTACTGAGGATGTAAGAAGATGTAGAGTATCAGAAAAGAAACCTGTATTTTTGTTGCCTATCTCATGAAATGGTATATGGTTTCATATATGTCACAAGATAGAGTAGCTACTACACAGGGTTCATCCCAGCGATGGTGAGCAAACTTTACTCCATCAGATTTCAATACGCTTTGAAAGTAATAAACTTTTTTCTTTTTTTAAATTATTTTATCGTTGTTCAATTACAGTTGTCTGCATTTCCCCCACCCCAACCACACCCACCTCCTTCCTTTGCTTCCACCCTCCTACTTGGTTTTGTCCGTGTGTCCTTTTCAGTAGTTCCTGAAAACCCTTCCTGCCATTACTCCCTCCCACCTCCCCTCTGGTTACTCTCAGATTATTCTTGATTTCGATGTCTCTGGTTATATATTTCTTGCTTTTCTCTTTTGTTGAATAACCTTGATTTTAAAAATATCTAGGTTTTAGGTGAAGATGACCTTGTGATTTTATTATGAAATGTTTTTATGTATTGCATAAATATGTTTGCTTTTACAAATTTGACAACCTTATAATATCTGAATCTAGATAAACCTCATCTATGAGATCTACTTTAAAACCCCTTTATCATCTCTGTCTCAAATGGTTTGCTATTCAAAGAAGACTTTGCATACAACATAATGTTCAAGGTAACAACTCTGAAGGCACATGCAAAAAAGGATACTTAATTAAAATTATTGAATTGAGAAACCATAAAATAGTATATTTTATATGTAAAATCAGTTATGTGATAAAAATTTAAGAAAGTTATATAATTATTACCTTTTTTCTCCTTCCATATATTCTTGGAGGATTATAGAGAAATCCTTTCTGAAAAATAAAAATATCCAAGGATATGGTCAGCCTTGTTCCTTTGTGTGGGACTCTGGCATTTCTAACCTCCTCCCAGATATTTCTAACTTATGTCCCACTGTCCGCTCAAAGCCCAGGAAATGAGACACCATCTACCTCACCTGTTCTCTTCTCACCTGTTCTTCTTCTAGAATTCATCCATGGAACCCAGAAAATCCTCTTTAGAACCATTTTCCTTGCTCTTGTGCTTTTTCCTAAGTTATCAGAGATTTTCCTTCACAATCTCTGGGACACCTCTCACCCTCTCTCCAGTCCCACCAGTGCCACTCACACCTGCCTCCTCACATCAAGGCTATTCATTCAACTGAAACACACGTGTCTCACATCTACAGGGTGTCACACACTCTGGACAATGTTGGGCACATAATCATGGACAAACCCAAGAGGGGTCTAGAGAGACAAAAGGAATGCATAGAATGATAAGAATCATACAGTGGGAGAGGGGCCTCAATAGTGAGTTCAGGGTGCCCTGGGAAGGGGTGGCCAGGGAAGGTCAGTCAGGGAACATTCAGACAGGAGTGACATGGGAGCTGAGCCTTGCAGGTTGACTACAGGTTTCTTGGGCTGAAAGACAATGAAGTCATTTCAAGGCCCCACATTGTCTGAGATACTGTTTAAATATGTCATGTCACACCTCAGGAGACTCCCTGGTTCTGCACTGTCTATGTTATGAGTTTAAACTTCTTAGTCTGGCATTAATTTCCTACAAAAAACCCCAATTGGTGAATTATGCCATATCACCCACAATCCACCTACCTCATCCCACAGACTCACATTTATTGTAGTTCTGGCTTTTATATCACTCTATCCCTAAATTACTTCTGCCCACTTCTTTGACTCTGGTCCTTCTACTCTCTTTCAGTGCTGAAAGTTGTCTGCAAGCACCTGGGTCAGAATGACCTTTCCTTTCTCCAAGCCCCTGCATCCACCCTGACAGAGACCCTTTGACAAATGGATGGGTTCCCTTGTATAGAGATATGAGTGTAGGGAGCCTCCCCCTGGGGAAAGGATAAAGTCAGGGATTTGGGGTTATAAGTATAACTCAGCATATATTTGTGAACAAAAAGTGATGTTATCTTAGGGTGCAACCAGGAAAATCACATCAAAGCCTCCTGTCACTACAATACCTCCATCAGCCATCCTAGGGTTCTCCTGCCGCAGTACAAACTTCTCCTCCAGGCCTTCCATCTTTCACAGCCTCCTTTGACTTCAAATTCTCTGGGAGTGAACCAATGCCCATCCTCACTCTGTATGCACTTCCTCATGACTCCTGTAAGACCAGGGTAAGTTGACCTTGGGCCTTCCATCCTCACAGCTTAGACACAGGCCTCACAACACAATGGATGTGGAGTCACCCCACTGGGGCTCAAGACCACTAGAGCAGGAGTGTCTGGCCTCCCCTCTCAGACATCAGAATCCCCAAAAACAGCCTATAAATCCCCTCCAAGGAGATTGCCTGTTTTGTACACACATTTCTTTGACCTTTTGCAAAAAAAAGAAGTAATCATTACCATCAAAATCAACATTCTAAAAGTATTCCAAAATCACCTAAAAGGAGTGCTCCAAGAATCCTCTCTTTCTGAACAATGAGAGAATTTAAATTTGCTATTGAATTCTGGAGGCAGAGAACAGGCCAGACTCTCTGGAGGCCCAGGGGCAGTGTGCAGGCAGAGCTTCAAGCTGGACTGAGATGTCAGGTGGGGACCCCGCTGCTCAGAATGGCCCCATGGCCCCATTGGTGCCCTCCCTTACAGCATGTTCCATCCAGTTTAGTGGCATGACTGAGCAGTGATTTTTTCCTTTATTCCTGAATTCACAGACAGTCTGTAGTAAACATAATTGTGAAATGTAGCCAGTGGAAAATTTAAGTTATATATAAAAGATAATCATATGCTAAACATTATTAGTCATTAAAGAAATGCAAGTCAAAACCACAGTGAGATCACTTCACAACCACTAGCATGGCTATCATTTAAAATATCAGACAATTACAAGTGCTGGCCAGGAGAGAGAGAAATTGGAGCCCTCACACATTGTTGGTGGAAATACAAAATAGTGCAGCCAGTATGAAAAATATTTTGGTGTTTTATCAAAAGTTAAAAATAAACTTACCATATGAACAAGCAATTTCGCTCCTCTGTATATACACCCCAAAATTTGAACGTGCATTCAAATAAAAATTTGCACACAAATATTCAAAAGAACATTATTTGTAATCCCAAAGAGTGGAAATATCACAAACTGATAAAGAGATAAACAAAATGTAGTATATTCATACCATAGAATATTATATTACTTGATACTAAAAAGGAATGAAGTACTAACATATACTATTACATGGGTGAACCTTGAAAACATCACGCTAAGGGAAAGAACCAGTCACAGAACAGCTCACACTATATGATTCCATTTACGTAAAATACCTAGACTGGGCTGCATTGCTTCAGGCTGGGCAGGGGGGTGAGGTGGTAGTTGGCACTGACTACTGAGAGACATGGGGTTTCCTTTGGTGGGGGACAAGGAATGTTCTAAAATTAGATTGTCAATTCACAATCCTGTGAACATACAAACAAAACTCAACAATGAATCATGCACTCTAAGTGGTGACTTGTATGATTTGTGAGTTATATCTCGGGAAAGCTGTTTAAATATTATACATCAATTACATAAATTAATTCCTTACAGCTATACCATGAGGCATATTTTAATCATCATCTCTTTTTTAGATGAAGAATTTCTTCTCTTGAAGAGTCAAGAGAAGTACCATTTTACTCAGGTGAATCAGTCACTCTTGGCACAGCTGAGGCTGGGACTCAGGATTTCTAATTCTAAATTCTGTGATCTTCTCACCACTTCTAACACCCCGTCCTAGTAATAATGATTCAGAAGTGAGGAGATAGGAAAGCAGAGGCTGAGGGCCCCTTCCCATTTACTTCTGATTCACTTCTTGATTGGTTCTTTGGGTATTTCTGTGGTTACTTCCATGTGGTAGTGAGCATCTAATATGTACAGTGTCTTAAAGTATGAAAATATCATCTCGAGGTTCCCTTGCTGCATCTCTCAAGTGGAAATACAACCTCGAGTCCTTGAATGATGTATAATTCACATGGGTAATTCTGGACTTCTTGTCATTCCTTCACATAAGAGCTGCAAATTAGACCGTGAAACCCACCTTGTTTCAATTTCTTCTTATATAACATCCCTTTCACATGTCCACAGGTCACAGGAAGTATTTCAGAGTGAAAATCCACAGTGTTATCTCTGTACTTTCTTGACCCTGAAACAGAAGATTTCTTCAATTTGTATCATTTTACAATTGCACATGTACCCTTCCCCCCATGTTGAGTTTGTTCCTATGAAGTCATAGGGGTGCTTAGGAAACTTCATTCCACAAATCTCCAGAGTTTCAGAGCTTTTCAGTGGCATTTTTGATATTTAATGACAGAATGTCAACTTTCATAACACCTCTCAACCCCGCTACAACCAGCATGCTTTAGCAGAGACACCAGGCGTCAGCACAACTGCCTTAGCTCCCCATGCAGTCAGTCCCCTGATTCTTATGGGACAGTGACACATGCAGCTGCTGCCCTGGTAGAAGGGAGCTCTGCAGCTGGGCTATTTCCCTGCACTTAGGTCGCTGGGGACCAAGTCCGAGACTGTACCTGTCTCTTCCTGTGTGAGCTCTGACTCAGGAGCAGAGGGGACAGTGATGGTGTGACCTAATGGAGATGGTGTCTGCCTGCTGTTTGTGTTCACTGCTTTGCCTCACTTCTCCCCCACAGGATCCTGCCCTCTCCGCCAAGTTTTAGAGCCATGGTGGGAGAAGAGGGCTGTCAGTAATAGGAGGGCCCAAGAAGGGTGGTTGGCTTGATTCTCTCTCCTGCTTTACAGGTGAGGAAACTGAGGCAAAAGTGGTTAAGTGACTGACACAAGCCCAGACAGTCAAGAGACGGAAAGTCTTCTGACTACCATTCTGGGTCACAGAATAGTCAGCTAAATCATTTGTGGGCTTGTGTCCCATATATACCCTTTATATGGCAACCGTCGAGGCCCAACATGAAAGTTATCAGTTCAGTAGAGACAACAGCACCACAGTGCACCCTGAATCCCTGGGGTCTGGTTTAGATTTGACGCCAAGTAAATGGTCGGTCAGATTATCTTCCTTCTGCCCCTGACACATTTTGAAAACAGACAAAGTCGTATGCTTTTCTTAACAGTCAATAAAGCTACATGAAGCAATTAGGGAAAAGGATTTATTACTAAGAACACAGACTAGAGCACAAGAAATTAGGTGAATAATTATTGAAAATATATTCCCTTACTTTTCTTGCGTCTTGACAGGATTCTCTTCCTTAGGGTTCTGTTGGTACTATTTAAGTGGATTCTACGTCTGCCTCTCTTTTTCCCTGACAAAAATGAGAAAATATAATCACAATTACAGTCATGCTTTTTTTTTACAGATATTACTGTTTTTCTAAATTTCCATTTAAATGTAACTTCATCAAAGCCTGACTAAAGCATAAAGAACAATATATAATCCCTAGTCTTTAAACTACCAAAAATTAACCTTAGGCTCATCATCTATTTTATTTTTCATAACCCTGAAATATTAAACAAACAATTGAAATCAGCAGTTTACTTATAGCCCATGCAGCCATGTAATATGTGTTTAACAGATGCCAATCATGTATCTACTAATTTATTTATTGATACTCTTTCCAAAAAATACATGAGATCAAGATGATGATTACTCCCATTACAGAAACTAAATTGTTCTGAGAAAATTGAGGCAAAATTACCAAAAAAGTAAAGACATTTAAGGATTCTTTTTGGTGGAGAGATAGGAAAAAAATAGAAATTCTGTGCATCAAGGAAAACCCTGTGGTGGGCTTGCGGGTGAGAAGCACATTACACACATTATCTTGAATAAATATATTTGTACATTTGTGCAAAAAATGATGTGAAAGCAAAGTAACTGTGACCAAGGGCTTTGTCCACCTTGGTTTGAACAGATATTATAATCAGAGAATCTACCAGAAGATGACTAACCAAGAGAAATGGGTAGAATTGAGTCTTACAAAACCTTAGTTTCAAGCAGTAACTAAGGATTGGCTTAAAAGGCGTTACAGCAGAGAATGTTCCTCTATTTGTAACAAGTTAATTGGCTATGACTATGCATCTCAATGTTTGCTATCACTCAAATGTGTCATTTTTTATAAAAACTAGAGACATTTATTGAAGATACAAGATACAAGAAACATTGTACATAGGACAATGATACCTCAGTCCTCTTCAAAGTAGAGACCTTGAGACCTCACACAGTTCTCTCAATCACCATCAGCTGCCCTGTCGTATTTTTCTGGATCTCAATGATGGTCTGAAATCTCTTCCCATTCAAAGATGATTTTAGTTTTGAGTAAAGTTAGAAGTCACAAGGCACCAAATTTGGGCTATAGAGGGGCTGGGTCACCTGGGTGATCTGATGTTTCACCACAAGATGTGATGCATCAGCAGGCATGTTGTCATGATGAAGCTGCCAGTCACTACTTGCCTATAGCTGCGGCCTTCTGAATCATCTGAATAGTTTCCATGGAGGAATGTTATTCAAGCTTAATGCAAGATTTGTTGCTCTACTCACTCAGTCATTTGGAATATGACAGCCACACAGTATACAGCTCATTCAATGGCATCTACCGCCCCCACTGACTAGTACAGTGAAGTGTTCATTATTCTTGTGTGTGCATCTCAGTCCACTCTCCTTGACTGCCAGGTTACATCGATGTCATGCAAACCATTCTCGTTATAGTAAGAATGGCTGGACTTTTTCTGGACAGACTAATATAGATATACTTGATAAGACACTCAAGTTCTATCACCTCTTCAGCAACAGAGCATCTATAGTACATAATGATATTTTATTTGTTTGGTTTTTTAGTCATTACTCAGGATCAAAATACTGTACAACTCCATAGGTCACCAATTACATTATAGTTTGTAAGTTTAAGTGATCAAGACATAGGTATCTTTAGAGTCAACAGTCACAAGATAAAAGATTTTACCAAAAAAAGAAGTCCAAAAAGGACTTCCAGTTACAAATGGGGTTTTTTTTCATCCCGTTCCCATGAAGATCACACTGCAGAAATGAATTTACTAAACTACTGAGGTGTCACATGTAGTCATTGTTGAATCTCTTTCCTACACTGGGACTGCAATGATGCTACCTGCTGTTGGATAAGGGCCTTGTCACAGGTCTTGTAGGTCAGTCTATAACAGAGACTGGCCTGTTCAGTCTGGGCATGCTGAAAATGACTAAGAAATTGTATGGATGCGATAGTGACCTGGGCCACTGCTCAGGCCACAGAGTGAAACCTTAGTTCATTAAATCCTTTCTTTTCATCTAACCAAAAACTAATAGTATCATGCACATGGCTTAGGGGATATAGGGAATAGCTTTTAAAGGACTCTATTATTCCACAGACAAAATTCTTCAGGAAACATTTATCAAAGATCCTCCAGTCAGAGATACCCCAGACAAGCATGACTAAGAGGTCCAAATTTTTAGACACAAACACGAAACACTGATCCGCATGTACAATGCTCGGAGCAGATGCGGTAACAGACCCAATAATCAGATCCTTGGCACAATCTGAGTTAAAATTGTGAGACTTCACATTAACCATATAATCTTTCCCATTTGGTTGAAAAATGAATTCTACTGGACTTCTCAGTTTATAGCCCTCCAGCAATGTCTGAGTCAGAAGGCTATGCAGAGTGCCCTTCAGGAGGTCCAGTAGTAACTGCAGACAGCCATCCTTCAGATTTTGATTCAACCCAAGGATAAACAGTCTTGTGAAATGCTGGCATTGTGAAAGGTGAGATCGGGCACTTCTGAAAGACAGGTCCACCCTCACTGTTTCAGAAAAAAGAATTCTGTAAATCACTACTAAAATTTAAAAAATGTCAGCAGTCTAACTACAAATATATACCCACAACTAACTTGATCATATATATCCTCCTAGGCTTTTCTCTTTGCAAATGTTAGTATTTAAATAATATTTTTTATTACAAAAGTTGAATGTGTTTACTATTTTCATATGTACACATATACCTATAAAACACAAATAAAAATATAAACATCACCAATGACCACATACAACCACTGCATATATTTTTATGGATGAACTGCCATTAATTTTTCTATATATCCATATCTATATCATTGTACATAGAGAGACAGGTAAATATGTGTAAGCAAACATTTAATTATATAAAAACATATTTGCACAAATACATATGTTTATACACACACACACATATATATATTTCTACCACATGTACATATGCAACCTGCTTTCTTCATGTGCCTTCTTTGGAACATCTTTCTAAATTAATTAATAAGTATTCTTGACCCAGTAAAGAAACCATGTACTGAGGATGGCAGTGTCTCCCTATCAGCCTGGATCATTTAGCTCTGGGTGATTATGTGTGTGAGACATAAACCATTTTGATGAAGCCACTGTATTTTCAGGCCTCTCTATTACAGCATCTTAGCCTATATTCTACCTGACGTAGTAGTGGGGAAACCATCAGGGCCCACAGGTGACTACGGGCCACAAGGGCACAAGAAGCAGTGCCGTCCTAAACTCCAAAGGTGTGACTGCTTCACTTTGCCTGCTTACCTCCTTGATATATGATTCTCTGCCATCTCTTTTTATATCTTGTCCAGGCATGTCCTCTCTTTTTTCCTTCAAGAAAAGAAGAGAATAAAGTTAATTATTCAATGTATAAAGGACCCATGGACAAAGTCAAAGAGGGGAAGGACTGCGGGTGGGAAATACGGGTGGGTGGTGTGGGGAAAAAGTGGGCAAAATTCTTAACTACCAGTGTAGCAGCATGAGGTTGCTTATACAGTCATATTTTGCTGTGTGTGCACTTGGAAGACTATAGGAAATGACATTTCTTTGAAATTTTTTTTAAAAACACATGTAAGCATGTGTTTATTTCTGGAATCTCTATGCTGTTTCATTCATCTCTGTGCCTGTTTTGGTGCTAGTGCCATATTGTTTTGATTACGATAGCTTTGTAGTCCAGTTTGAAGTCAGGGCACATTATACCTCCAACTTTGTTTTCTTCTTTCTCGAGATTGCTTTGTCTACCCAAGGTCTTTTTGGTTTCATAAATTTTAGTATTATTCATCCTAGTTGTATGAAATATGCCACGGGCATTTTGATAAGGATTGCACTGAATCTGTACATTGCTTGGATAGAAATAAACCCAAAATTTCATGGTCAATTAAATTATGACAAAGGAGGTAAAATATACAATTGGAAAAAACAGTATCCTCAATAAAAGGTGATACAGATACTGTATAAGATACATGCAGAGGCAATTCTCTATGACATTTCCACATGCATCAAAGTATCTTTTCAAGGCTATTTCAAGGCCTTTATTCCTTCCTGGAGACTGTGGGGCAGAAGTTTTTTCCATGACTTTTCCAAATTCTACAGTTAACCCATATCATTGTTCATTTTCTCCATCTTCAAAGCCACCAATTGTGTGTTTTTCTGCATTTCCCAAAGCCACTTCCCCCTGTCTCCACAGCCAGAAACTGTTCTCCAGTTTTCAGTGCCAATTGATCATGTCAGTGGTACACAGATGTCTAAAATAAACTCCCCTTTCCAGATCCCTAGCTTTATTATATCTGTAGAATCCCTTTTGCCACCAAAGAAAATGCATTATAGGTTCCAGTGATTAGGATATGGATATTTTTTGTGGGATCATCATATTATTTTTACTTATTATTATAATAATGAAACTCAAGTATTAATAACCTTATTTTAACACCAAAAACAAGTAAAATCTTTTGCACTCTTACTTCTTTTCCTCTTGTGTTTTCCCAAAGTAGAGTTGTTTCCATTATGCACAGTATCTAGGAAAAGAGGTAGATATGAGGAAATAGAAATTAATAGCTAAAAGTTACCAATCCTAGGATGATTCATACTACAGAAGGAGTGAGTTTAGTTATTTGTTTATCATTATTCTCTTTTTTCTGAAGGAACTAAAATTCTCCTGAATGAAGAGGTAGGAGTCCAGGATGAGCCCTGGGTATCCCCCCCTACACCCCCTTTTTTTTATGGTTTCACTCAATGGAACTTAAAAAAAAACTCCTAAATACCTACTTATTTCAAGTTACTCACAGATAGGAATAGGTGCCCAATCCTGTCTAGGTCTTAAAATTTTTGTAGGAATTAAATAGCATCTTATGGCAAAAAGTTGATAATAAAATGCTACATAAATTAGACATATGCGGAGTATATCCATCAGAAATTTGTGCTGGGTTAAGAATAATTGATTGGAAGTCTCCCCTACTGACAATTAAGTAGCATGACCAGTTGTCCTTAAAGTCTTTGTAAGGTTGTGAAAAATGACACTATTGTCTTACTAGGAGAAGTGCCAGTACATCTTGTTTCCTTGGGTTCCATAGATTTTAGGTGTGACAGCGATGGAAATAACTGCATAAAATTAAGGTGTCATTACTAATATAGTAATGCAGCAAACTAGATGTTGCCATTTTAAGTTGTATTTCTACAATATCCATATATAATCCACAGTGCTCATTCTGTGGAACATGACTTTATAATTATCTCTTAACACCCTGCTGTTCCTTAAAGGGTCAGGTCAAGAAAAGGCAGAGAATGGCATAGAGAGATGGACTGGACCTCCTGTCACACTCCACCTGGGGTCCCGGGTAACTATGAACTCACCCTCATGCCATGACCTTCATGCAGCATCTTACCTTGACTCCTTCCACTGCTTGGCTCCTGACCTCCTGGCACATCTTTTGAGAAGCACATAACACAGGAACACTGGTCACTTCCATGTGCTGGTAGCTCTGAATCTGGGCAAAATCGTAATTTATGAAAACTCTTATCAGATGCCCCAGTGACCCTATTTTTGGTACCCTTGTGGATTTTTGTTTTGCTACTTCTTCCTCTGAAATACAATATTAATCCTCTCTATATCTGAGTCTTCCTTTAATTCTCCTTTTTTTCTTCTCTTGTCTTTTTATCTTATCTCTGTTTCTTTAAAATATGTTTATCTTGTTCATCACAGGGTAATAGACTAAAGATAAGCTCTTCAGATCTCCTTCTCTACCCATTTGGGGAGCTTCTAGTTCACAAGAAATTAAAGAGAAACAAGAAAGTTACTGTCCACAGATCCTGAGACAGTGACTAGGGAAGAATTTCTGGTGCTCCTGTGTGGCACACTGATATTCTGAACTAAGGTGAACTGCATCCCTGGAAAAAGTACACCTGCTCCAATAATCACACCTGGGCTCTGACAGAGCCGTGTTATTCCCATTCTTCGCACCCAATTCTACTTCCTCTACTTTTATTTTTCTATTTGTAGCCATAAGGATAAAATTAGAAGACTACATTTTTCCAGCAAAAGAGAAACTAACAGTTCTTTGAAAATTATAAAAGTAGCCCTGGCTGGTGTGGTTCAGTGAATTGAGCTCTGACCTGTGAACCAAAGGGTCACTAGTTCAATTCCCAGTCAGGACACATGCCTGGGTTGCAGGCTAGTTCCCCAGTAGGGAACATAAGACAGGCAACCAGTGCTGTTTCTCTCCCTCTTGTTCTCCCTCCCTTCACCTCTCTCTAAAAATAAATAAGTAAAATCTTTAAAAAACAAAAAGAAAATTATAAAAGTAACTACCAGACCACTTTTAAATTCATCCCAATTGGCCAATGACTACTTATATTACCAACCACATTTAAAGTCAGCTAGTCAGTTGCAGCCATACACTTCTCAAAGTCAGCCAATCAGCAACAACCACATTCCAGAAAGCCCACACCTATGGCTAAATTTAACCTGTTCAGAATCATTCCTGTTTCTGAAAGTCCTCAGTCCCTGAAACACATACTTCCCAAAACTCTTTACAAAGTCAGCAGTTTCTGGGGTTTTTTTTTTAAATTGTGTCCAGTAAGTACACTGTCTCCTCCCACCATGCACCTTGCTTAGTGAGCAATGAATCCCGCTTTTAGCTTCAGATATTGCATAAGGGCTATCCCTTTAAAATGGAGTTCCCACCAAGGTCATCTTGAAGACTCTTGCTGGACTGTCCTGTGGGACCCTTGGACCAACGGGGATAATTCTCCAGCCTCTTGTGCCCACTTCAGGTTATGTTCCTGACCCACTGCCAAGTGAACTGTCTTAACAACTACTTGACCTTTGGCATGTTTCATAAATTGTTATTCCTGAATTTTCTTATCATTTAAACATGTGTGTGCAGTCAGGTACAAAATAGACATTTCGTTGGGAAGTACACCATTTAGCAAATATTGTGTGAACGTGTTTATACTTTTACTGCTTCACTTAATCTCCCTCTGTTGTCTATTATAAAATGTCCTATATCACACATGCTTGTTCCTCATTTTCCTGTGCTTCTTGAATGTTAAAAGAAAGTCATCCAAAGCAAATGGATGGAGACATAGACTGGATATGACCCCTATATAAGCCAGTTCCAAAGACTAACTAATGGATGAGACAATAGCCAATTTGTGCAAAGATTTTTGGTCACACTTAGTCATGAATTCCTCACCAAAATTTTCATGAAGGCACTTGACATCTTTTCAATTTGTGAAAAAAAAAACATTTTGTTTAACACATAACCTGAGGTCAAATATTACTATGTAATTGATCATTTGTCCCCTTTTTTGTCTCTGTTTGGTGAATAAACTCCATGACCCACTCACATGCAGGACACCATTCACACTTATGACTGAATGTTGTGGCCACGGCTGTTTGTCCTGAGCCTGTCTTTGCCAAAGCTTTTGGAGGACTGGTTCTACCAGTTCTCCACTGGTAGAACTCCACTTCCTGTTAGTGCTCTCACTGCGATCCTACCTGTTGCACGTATCGTAATAAATGACAAAGCTTCACAGGTGACGACTTTGGGTTTCGATGGGGAATTTGTGACACATCAAAAGTACAAAATTCACATCATAATATTTCCCTAAGAGAGTAAAATATCTAAAAGTCCCCATTTCCCAATCACTAAATATTACTTTCAGACCATTACCTAAAAAAACACCTTTTCGGAGTTCAGAAGATGGCAGTGAAGTAGATGGGACCTAAGCCCATTTATTCGTGCACCCAACTGGGACGCTTAGCCAATCTTCCAAAAAACAGTGTGAACAGACAACAGAATCTTAGCTGATAAGAAGTTTGGAAGCCGAAGTATGCAGAGGACATTTCACAGCTGGTGGTAAAGAGGTTTTATAGGCTGGTGGGGCAATCCCTTGGGCCTGTTGCCAGAAACTGCAGCTACCTTGGGAACATTGGAGGGGAGCCAGGTGAGTGATAGCAGCCTAGTGGCTCCTTGCAGGGACCTCTCGTGCCTTTGTTGGCAGCAGCTTGGCCAACAAAGAAGGAAGAGTGTGGCTCCATTTGCTCCCACTCAGTGCATCTCATGAATTGATCAAAGGGGTGCAAAGCGAGGTGCCTTATCTGCTCCAGCCTGGCACAGCTGTGCAGAGCGGAGAGTGCAGGCCACACAGTGCTCTGAGGGTGTAGGCTGGACACTGGGCACCTGTGATTATTGTAGCCCAGACTGAGCCCTCATCCCTGCTGACCCACTGGGAAGGAAAAATGGAGCTGAGCCCCACCGCCTCTGCCAGCAAGAACCAGGAGGATCTGCAAAACTGGCTTGACAGGCTTTTTTTTTCAAATGTAAGACAGCAAAAGACCTGGGGCTGAGAGAAAACCAGAGACAGATCCAGAAAAAAGTCAGAAGGTGAACAGCAATGGCTGAGAAAAATTTTACTTTGCTTTTCATCAGAATTTGTATATTTTTTATTTCTCTTCCTTCTTTCTTTCTATTTATTTATTTATTTATTTCTTCTGTTCCAAGTTATTTGTTTTTATTGTTTGTTTTGCTTTTTATTCCCCCTTCTATATTGCACTTTAACCTTTCTTCTTTCACTACACTTGTATTCCAAATAACTCACTACTCTTGGTCTTTTACTTTTTGTTCTTTTTATTCAGATTATACATTTCTAATCATGCTATTATTATTCCAAATCCCACACATCGCCCTCCCCTGGTGTCAATCCATTTTGCCATCCTCCTGAGCTTTATTATGGCTGGTATAAACTTTATTTTATCTCACACTGCACCAAGTTTCTATCCCTTACTCTCACTATTTCTCCTCCATCTAACCTCGCAAAAATGCCCTTCTTTCTTAAGTCAGCTCACATGCTTTTTCCCCTCTTATGAGTCTTATTTCTTTTCCACCTTTTACCAACAGTGGCTTGTTGAGTGAAATACCATGGTTATTTCTGTACTTCTCCAAAGGAACTTCTGTTTGTACACTATTTGTTTCTGCTTTAAATCCCATAGAATACTCCCCACTATCTTACTCCATTTCACCTTTCCCCTGCCCCTGATCTGTTTTGGGTGCTGCTGATGAAGAATTTTATTTCATTGTTCTCTCTCTCTTTCTTTTTTTTTTCTTTCCCCCTCTCTCAACCTGGGTGTTACTCCTTACTCTTATGGGTTTTCTTCCACCACCCTCTCAAAATCATTTTTCTTTACTGTAGATATCTTATTCACTTTTCACTTTGCTACAATATTCTTATATCCATTTACCTTTATTAAACTTCATTCAGCTGTCCTTGCTATCGACCCTGCTGTGTTTTTTCTGCAATTCTGCTCCTGTTGGTCCAGTGCCTTTTCAATTTTACTTCAAACCTCATAGTATATGCTTCCCTTTTCTTACCCCATTGTTCCCATCAACGTTTTCATGTTTTACTTACATTTAAAATTTTGTTCTCTCCCTTTCTTCACCTCAGTTCTATCCCAACTCTTGTCAATTCTCCTCCCTCTTATTACTCAATAACATTTTCCCCTCTTTTAGTCATCTCACATTCCCTTTGTCATCTCATATCCCCTTTGTTATAATATCTGCAGTCTCTCTTCACCTTTAATAATTTTTACTCAATTTTGGTTGAGATTGCTGCTGTGGGAGGGGTTTCTTTTTTATGGCATATGTTTTATTGTCTGGTAATACAACTGTGTTAACCAACACCTGTACAAAGCATACAAGACAACGTAGGAGCTGTCACTACCAGAAAGCCCACTGCAGGAAGAACCCACCAACAAAGAAGCCACCTAAGTAAAGCCCTAGCACAACAAGAGAGCCTTCACAAATGAAAGAAAGGGCAACACTAGAGTATCCAGACAAAGAGGACAAAGAGAATGCACCACTGAGCCCCACAGAACCCCTACCACAGAAATTCCCTCCCCTGAAGAGAGCTGGCAAAGCAGAGCATCCAGAAATGCAGAAACAAACAAAAAGAGTCAACTAAAATGGGGAGAAAAAGAAAGAACCCACAAGTGAAAGGAATGGAAGTATCCCCAGTAAAAGAGCTAAATGAAATGGAGGTAAGCAAACCAGCAGAATGTAGAATTCAAAATAATGGTTATGAAGATGTTCAAAGAACTCACAGACAACTACAAAGAACTCAGTGGACTACAACAGCATAAAAAAGAAAAGAGAAAATATACACAAGAACTAGGAAGGAATGAAGAATACAATATCTGATATTAAAAGAAAAAAAAACTAGAAGGAATTACAATCAGGCTGGATGAAGCTGAGGACCAAGATAGTGAGCTGGAAGACAAGGTAGAAAAAATAACTAGGTAGAGCAACAGCAAGAAAAAAGACTAAAAAAATATGAGGATATCTTAAGGGAACTTGAGAACGACATGAACCACAACAACATTCAAATCATAGGAATACCAGAGGGAGAAGAAAAGGAGCAAAGGATAAAAACTGGTTTGAAAAAATAATGACAAAAAACTTCCTTAGCCTGGAAAGGAGAAAAGCCATAG